AAAAGCGACTTCTTTACCGTGCTGATTTTTTACCCCGGCGGTGGAACTTTCATCGTCTCTTTATTGCATTGGAACTCATTTGTGCCTATGATTTCTTATGGTGCAATATCTTGAAACTTTGAGGACAAGGTTGAACCGAAGGAGAAGACAATGTTAGGATTATTTTAGAATTAGGATAATTATGTTAAGTCTTTTATTATTATCTTCTATAATTATGTTAAGTCTTTTATAATTATCTTATTAGGATAGAATTATGATTATCTTATTAATTAGATATAATATCTTATTATATTTGAATTAGACAATTAGAGTCCTTTTGGGAGTCATTAGAGTCAAGTGTAAGACTATATGATAGCCTAATTCTAAATTGTGATTATTAATAAGGAATTTTGTCAATTAATTTCTCTGTCTTTTGTTTTTGGAGGTTTATGTTCCTAATATAAACAGATCCTATCACAAACCCTACCACTGCCCCTCATCTCCTTTCTCCACTTTTTTCTATGGTCCACATCTCCTCTCTCTCTCTTTCTCTCTCTCTCTCTCTCTCTCTCTCTCTCTCTCTCTCTCAATATTTCACACATGTGTGGAGCTGGAAAAACAAAATTTTCCCACCTGCAATATCAGAGGAAGAAGTCTATTTGAGGAGAGATAAAATGGATTCATTAAAAATTGTGCAGAGACTTAAAACAACAGTTATATAGAAAGAGAGTATAAAATTCAAAATTAATTATTGAAACAGTAACATCTTATACAGTATTTTGATACTTGATATTAGACATAATGATAGTTCGGAATTAGTCTATAATGAATTTTTTTATCTGAAAAACTGTCATGTTGAGGTTATAAAAGAAAATTTATAAGATTAAGTTGTGAACCATATTTTATTGTTAGGTATAATGTTCGGTGTTCACCATCCACGTGCTCACCTTATTAGACGGCTATGAAATTAAGCCTAACATCGAATGGGCTTAAATGGGCTTGTCATACAAGTTTGTATACTACTGGACCATCTCATTACCAAGTTTTGCACTTCCTCAAAAACCCAAACTCAAATTTATTCTCTGCTACACCCGGGACTCTAATTATAGCCATGATAATCTATGCAGAAAGATCCGTCATCAAATTTCTTAAATAACTAATGTGAATCAATGTAACAATCATAGGTTAGTATCACATCAATTTATCTAAGAGTTTGTTAAATGAGAAATATAAATCATAAAAAATGACCAAATTTCGAATAAGAACGAAAATATAATAAGCGATCAAATTGAAATTTTTTTTTACCATTTTGTAATTATCAGCAAAAGTATGACAAATTATCGAGTTGTTATATTTGACCCAGTTATCCAAAAATGACCAAATTATGAAAGATGTGAAATTTATAAAAACGACAATGTTATTAGAAGTGATAAAAATTATTAAAAGGACCAAAGAATCAAAATATTTGTTGGAAGAAATTAGGTTTCGGGTGTGAATGTGGAATAGCAAGCATATAGTTATAGTATTCTCTAATTAATTTGGAAGAGGTGAGAAGAAAACCACCAATAGGTAACCTGATGGTAAAAGAGTAAAAGAATGTTTCACAAGCTCATAAATTTGAGTACCTCAAGATAGTAGCGAATCCAAAAATTTATATTAGGGTGGGCCAAAATAAAAACTAATTACGTATTAATATTTATATCCATTAATATTTTTGTTAGAGTGTGCCAAAATTCAAAAATTGTACACATTAGAATTTTTTCAAAAAAATTCAGGATGAGCCCTCAACTAGTGCTGGATCCGCCCCTGCCCGTAGGCACTAATATGGGTGGTAACTAGGGTTATTATCAGGCTGACAATTCTAGAGTCTTAAAAAATTAGTTGAGATGTGTGCAAACTAGATCAAACATTTCTGATGTTAGGGTGTTCGAAAAAATAAAAAAAAAGTGAGAAGAACGGAGGCCAGGCTGTAGAGAAGGGGCAGTAGGCTATCAGGAAAAGCAAAAGCCAAGAGCTGTTACACTATTCAATTTAAAAGGGAACTTTCATGATGAAGGAGAGGCGCGGACGTCGGCAATAAACAAATATATCGGTGAAACCAGAACAAGTTTACATGAATTACTTAAATATGAAATTAAAGTTACTACAACAGGATTTGTTATCAATTTGCCCTTGCTTAAATTAAAGAGGGAGCTTTTGAGTAAGTGGGGCAATAAGGAGCCGTCATTTTTGGTTTTTTGTTTGGTTTTTCTACTATACGAGATGGCGGTGGTCCATATGTCACACACATACAGCGTCAAATTACTGACTTAAGTATTCAAACGCAAGCCCAGCGGCCGAAAGGACCGACATTTGTGAGGAAAAGAAAAAAACAAAGGCTATCATCTGATATGGGCTAGAAAGTTCTGCAATGCGATATATTTATTGGCCAGAAAAGCAGGAATTCCTATTGATCTTCTCTTCTAACAAGTCAAAAGGCGCCACTATATATATAAGTTCAGTTAATCTTTATTTGGATATAAATAATCACATGAGCATGCTGATGTCTCGCCCGTAATTGAATGCCAACTATCCAAACCTCCCCAAAGGTTGTTTGAAATATCACCAAGACCCCAATAAGTATTGAAAACTACCGATATTGCCTCATCTATTGCAAAATCATCACTTGCTCCCGATATTATAGTTAAGTAACGATAAAATATGGAATTTGAATGGTGAAATCTGAAACCTCAAGTCGCAAAGAAAAATATTATTTATTACTTTTTAGAGTGTATAATCAAGTTGATAATTTATTTAATTCATCAAACCAAGTTGATATAGGTTGTGTGTGATTTTTCCATCAAACTCAGAGAAATCAGAGTTTAGCGAAGTTATAGCCCGACTTAGAACGAGCTCGATTTAAACAATTGTTCGACCCAGCATAAACTCGTTGAAATATAGCTCGACTTAGCATAAGCTAGTCGTGACCAATCTCGACAATTGTTCAAACAGCTCACAGATAACCTCAGATCTCAGATATCTCAAAAGGGATCAGATCAATAGCAATCATGGCACAATCTCAACGCTCAATTGCGAAAATATCGGAGTTCAATTTCAATCATAATTGTAATCCCTTTATTTTCGTTATTTCCTTTGTGCAAAACTTGCGTATAAACCCCTTCCAACGATGGAAAATGGGTTAGCAAATTATTCTAGGAACACTATTGTAAGCTCTCACAACAAATACAAAAAACAGTGGACGTAGGCTTAAGATTCAAACTTGCCGAACCACTTTAAAACTCTCTTTTGTCATTTATTTTACTGCATTTACATTCATACGTTGTTGGTTATCTTTAATCACGCACATTGGATTCAATTCCGTTAAAGTTAATTGGATCACTCTAGTTGATGTGAATCTCGTATCAACAATATATATCCATAAAAATCAAATGTTTAGACAACAATAGAATCTAATATTCAATGTACCAACAATAATTATAAAATTTAATTATACAAAACGAGTTTAGATTTAAAAAAATGTCTAAGATGTCCAAAATAAGTTTATGTATTATAGAATAAACAATGATGAAATTCCATAACCCTGAGGGATTGGCCTGATGGTTAATGAAGTTTACTCCCTTCATTGAGTTTCTAGATTTGAATCTTGGGGTCACCTACTATATTGTGATTTATCTTATCTTTTGTGTTTTTAGATTGTTCAATAGACTCTGAAGATTAGTTTAGGTATAGCGTAAGCTGACCCGGATCATGACGTGATGAGCAATTATTTCCTGAAAATCAGAAGAGAAATTCCAAGGAGATTTCTGATAATTGCACCCTTAAATTCATTGTAATTGATTAAAGAAGTATGCCACTATGAACTTTAAATATTCTCCAATCACTCAACTTCCACACGCTGCTTTTACGAGGTCCTTAACTCAGTATTAATTTATCGGTTTTTGGTTGTGTAAAAGGATCAAGGACAATGCATATATTTGATTATTTCTTCAAAAATGTGGACACTCATCATGATTCATGCTTTTTCGTACCAATAGTCCAAAAAGAATTGTAAACAAAGAATTTCCATGAAATTCTATCAGTCAAGAGTCAAGACCACTGGGCTCCTAAAGAAAATAATTTAGGAAGATCATTAGCAAATACTCATCCCATTCTTTATAATTGACGTTTTAAGGCTCTACACATTTTTTAATAAATCAATTTTATCTCTCCTCTTATTGTTGCCCTCAAGATCAAAGGACATTATGCCTGTATTTTGACAACTTCATTACAACTTTTTCAACACCCAAGAAAATAACTAGAAGATCACAGATCATTTGTCTTTGGCATTAAAAATTTCTTGGTGTGGAATTTTTAATATACAAAACCAATAACTCTGGATTGAATACTAAGTCTTCTTGAGAAAAAGAACAACTGACCTTGGGAAATGAAATTGTAAAACAACTGGAAGACACAGAAATACACAGCAGTATTCATTCATTCGTAGTGAAAGCAACGCAGCTACCGCTGGTTTTTTGACTTTGACGTTTTAGCTTTTCCCATCCAGTAAAGCTCTGCATTCTTAACTCAAACGCGGAGTAAAAAAATGACCCCATGAAGAGGAGAGCCCGACTGCATGCTCTACATACGCATGCTGCTGTTGAACTATTTGCCAACAAATTACGCGTTAATTAGGCGCGGCAGGCATTAGGTTCTTTTCCACTGCTTATACCAGATTATAACCAACCTGCCTGCTCCATGCACACTACAAACACACATTACATTAACTTACCAAATACCAATATCTGTTAGGCAGACCGACCCAAATTCAACTTAAATAAGCTTCTGTTAACTTTCTCGTCCAACTTTACACCCTTAAAACACTCTTCAGATGTAGCAAAGTGGACCCAAGGAATGCAGAAACAAAACATTTCCTTACTTTATATATGTAAGTACGTGATTTTTACACATCGTGAAGAGTGCGTGTGACTAAATGTATTCAAGGACAATAATGTATTAATTTAATTTGGCCCCTTTCAGGAAATTGCCATGCAATTTCCCTTCCACCAAAAACCAAAATCATACGTTATCACCATTCTCGTCTCTGTCAGCGGCTGTTTCATAGCAACTCCTTTAAGCTTTCAGAAAATTCATTTTTTCTGTCAGACTTTATTGCCTTTTACTCTATTATATAAACGCTACGTTACATGATATTGAAACCATTAAGCTAAGATGGCAGCTGATCGAGTATCTAAACCATCCAAATGGTTCTCAAACAAGGGACTGAGGTTAAGTTTTCCTCGTCGCAGATCAAAGTCTAGGTCAACATCAAGCTCTCCTACCTCCCCTATATCTCAAGGTGAAAGTACAACAAAAAAACCCTCTAGAGATGATGAGCTGAAAGAGGTTTTTCGTCATTTTGATGGTGATGGTGATGGGAAAATATCGGCTCTCGAACTTAGGGGTTACTTTGCATCTATTGGAGAGTACATGTCGTACGAAGACGCTCAAGGAGCGATCGATGATCTCGACACAGATGGTGATAATTTACTTGACTTTCAGGACTTTCTGCGGCTTATGCAAGGAGAGGGCGATGAAGATCTCAAGAGGGCTTTTGAGATGTTTGAATTGGAGAAGAAAGGTTGCATAACTCCAAAAGGATTGCAAAACATGTTGAACCGCCTAGGAGATTCAAAATCTTATGATGAGTGTGTTGCCATGATTCAAATCTTCGACATCGATCGGAATGGAGTGCTTGATTATCAAGAGTTTTACCGGATGATGAGTGATTAGTATTTTCCTACATGTAGATAAATATATATCATGTCTTTTTTTTTGTTTTTTGTTTTGTTGGGAGTTGTGTGTACTTTAACTAATTCCTATAGTTCTAAGTGAACGATCTTGATAAATCCTCTTAGTGGCTTATGCGAACTTAAGAACCCATATTAATCCCTTACTCTTTTATCATCAGACCATCCTATAGTAGTTTATATATATATATATATATATAATATGTCTAAGTACGCTTGCATGACTCTTATGGTGCACTGGCTATTAAAATGATTCCATTAGTCGAAACTATGTCTTTCCTTTTTGTTTTTCATTTCCCGGTCAAAAAATTATTTCACTAGTCTTGCGAATCTATTCTTTAGTACTAAGCTAACACATATGTACATGATATGATCATATATATGATTCTGTAGTCATCTATAAGTTTGCTCCTTTTATTTGGTGATTGTGGGGGAATAATCTGTAAAATATATAGCTAGCAAACGTTATATATATTGAAAGAGCATATATTCATGTTGAGTAATGTTATATTTATACCACTCTTTTACACCATTTTCATTACATCATGATGTGACATATTCTACAACCACACAAATTCTATTATAATATTAAAAATTTAAAATAATTAAAAATTTGTGTTGTTATGATATAAATCATAACATAATATAATGAAAATAGTATAAAAGAGTGGTGTAAATGTAGCATTACTCACTTATGTTTGACCATCTTATTAATGATGTCAAACTTCCACAAACCGATGTGATTGTGGGCTTAAAGCAGACAATACCTCTAAAAACCTACTTATCATGTGATTGAAGACAACATAACAATAGTTAGCACTAGAAGGAGGGTCCAAGCTATGTTGAAGCCAAACTCTCATATCGGCTAGGAGACGAGGGCCTCTCAAAAACCCAAAGACACCTTTTCAAGAAAAATTTGTGTAGGTCTCTCAACAGCCTAGCCTATGGGCTCAAAGCGAATAATACCTCTAGAAACTGATCTATCATGCGACTAGATACGGTATAAGAACTCTCATCTATCATCAAGCCGTATCTGTAGAATAATCCTTATGGCAGAAGCAAAGATGTGAGAGCTAGATCTCGTGAAAGTAAGGTAAAGGGACAAACGATTAATCATCTTAATTAGCTTTGACGGATGATGCAAAGTGATGTTTCACGAGATTTTACAGGATGTCTTGGCCTTTACTCTTAGCGCTGAGGTGATTTTTGAATGAAGGTAGATATAGATAATATTGTTTTGTTGGTCATGATTTAATTGTCATCATAAAAGTCTTCTTTCCTATCCTCCCCTCTACCAAAATTTAATAATGAAAGAAATGTTAGCCAGCAGGTTTAATTTTTAAGACCTGTAAGTATAATGACACTTGCCGAATTATTTTCAGAAGAGTGAAGTTTAGGTGACAGCATATTACGTAGTGGGTCACGGGAGTCTGAGCTCATGTACTTTCACCATGCAGGAAGTTGGGTGAAATAGTAGTTCGTGTGCGGTTGGTTTTAGATGGTATAGTAATGTTATTTCCTTGAATGAAACCACTCCTGATCTTGTCAGTGCGTACCATTTACGCAACCATATATCCACCATTCCAACTTTCAATAAATATGGACTGGTAATCCAATTTTACACATTTTCACTCGTAACCTGATCATGGTGGCTCACAGTGAGGTAAATGAGACACGTTGTAAGTAGATAAATTTGAATTGTTACGTTGTGAAAATTTTTTTTTATAAAATTGAGTTATAAGTGTAGTATTACCCTCTAACTTCTCTTGTAATTCATAATTTACTGTTTTTGTTATAAAAGAATATTTGAATTAGTTTGTATGTATTTCAATTAATCTTCATAACCCATTAAATACCTTACCAAACCAATATTCCAATAAACCATAAATATGATAAATGACCTTAAAAAGGTTTAAACAAAAAAGTCAATAAAGAAAACAAATCTTCTTTATCTAACCAAACTCTTGGGTTCATAATTTACTGTTTCATGCACTAAAAACATAATAGTAATAGGATTAGGGAATAGTCAAATAGATCTTCATCATACATTAGTTATACTGTACACTTATCATAACATACTTAAAACTCTAAATAAGTTTAATTAAATCAGAAGAGGATACAAATTCAAATAAGAGCGCGTTTTTAACATTCAGATTTTTTTCCAACATGTATCCCATTTATATTCTATGTTTTCATACTTCACATCTGTATAACAAGTTATAGCTTATATTTCTAGAAAATTTATATGAAATATTATAAATAGGAGGTTACTTTTTTTTTTTTTAAATCAATATCCCAGGCTTCCCATTGATATGAGGGTAAAATTATAACATAATGATAATTTATAAATTTACAATTATCACAATCTATCCTGGATTTAGGCAGTATGAGTTGGATAAACTTATGTAAAGATGGATACTTGGGATAAGGAGAAGTTGTTGATAGAGACATAAAGCATAAACATGTTGAAGTTAGAATGAAAAGGCTAGGGGAAATTACATGGTAAGTGGGAAGTCCAAGTTACATTGGGTTTGGCGGCAGTGCAACTGCAAAGACACAAAATGGCTTTCAAATCGACCAGTCCAAGAGAAGATCAACAAAGAGTCCTAAATTCAATGTGTTTGGATGAGGAAAGAACAAGTGGGAATTTTATTTGGCAACGTCTTCTTTGTTTGGGGATGAAAGCAAATCAATAGTGTTCAAACATCATTACCTTTAACTTCATCCATGTGATTGGATACTGTTATGAAAATTCACTATCAATTCTATGCCTAATCACATGCACAAATAACACAGATAACACACGCAATACCAAATCAAAACCACAACCAACTCAAGAACACCAAATATACCGTGGTTCACCTTTCCACAAAGGAAAGATTACATCTACGTTGAGCTCTAAGAATTTTGGGGCTCACTGCACTAGGAATAAAACGTTATTACAGATAACTCTCACTGATTTTACCCAAATATCAATCAAGAAACCCACTTACACAAACTTGAAAAATCCCTAGAGATGACCTGACCCAGTCTCTCTAAACCTGAAGGAACAACCTGCCCTCACCCAGGATTACACAGATTTGTAACTCACACAAAATTGAAAACAAACTTTCAACACAAAGGGCAAAACAGATCTGTCGCACAAAAGAGAAGAAGCAAAAAATCATTGTTCTGTGTAAAGACTCTTCCTTTATATAGTTTGATCTCATGAGCTAATCTTGGCCACTGGATCTGCTTTATTTCAGTGGCTGAGATTTGATCTTATTTGCAGTGAAACGACAATGTATTGATTAGTGATATCGTGCAGAAACGTTACTATTTTGTGCTTCATATATCAACAGATACACTAGTCTCCATTCCATGGTTAATGGTATTCTTATACCAATGTTTAATAAAATTTGAATAACTTTAAAAGAGGAGTATTCTTATTATTCAATATAAATTTAACAGTTAACTTACCTTTTATTAAGTTCAATGATTAAAACAATAGTACGTAGTTTGAAATGCGAAAGACCAAAATTGTAATATTTGAAACAAATGGATCAAACATAATTGACTAAAACTATAAGGATGAAAAAGGAATTGTCTCATCTTTATAGTGTCTTCCAATACACAATTGTCCAACCCACGATATAAATTGGTTTCATGACCCAACTTTCTACCTAATGCCCGTTTTAATGGCAACTATCATGGTTCACCCACAAATTCTTTGAGTAAACGACATGTTTCCACTTAAAGATTAGTAAAATGACAAGTTTCTATCACTGATTTCATTTATTCCATATTCCTACCCTTTAAGTAACATCGTAAGCAATTTTTAGGGTATGACTAGATGCATAAAATACTATTATCATACTGCCCTTGACAACTTGACAAACACACCCCTCATATTTTCTAAAGTATTTACAAATTTGAAAACTAAGATTTGAAAACTTGACAAACACACCCCTGCAACTGTTGCTTCTGCGACTGCTATGGTAGCAGAGGCGGCTGCTGTGGCAAGAACTTTTATTTTTTCACCTTTTTCTCCACCCACTAACACTTGGCAAAGCTCGCCCACCCTCTGCAAAGCTTGCCTCATCCCCCTCGACATCAAATTGAACTTAAAAGTTGGAATGGGAAATATATTATCAAGATGAAGAGAAGAATTAATGGAGGTGGAACCAATCTTTATTGTTTGTGCGGTAGAGCTATCTGACAATTGAACACTTGAAAGAGAGGTGTTGGGTGACAATATTTGAAGGATTTGAGCAGGGCCGTCTCAAGAACGTTTGTGACCCTAGGCAAGAGTTACTTTGGAGGCCTTCTAATAATATAAGCATATATTAAAAAAATTATTTTAAATTTATTTTTATTGCCTTTTGAGATGTAAAATCACTAAGAGAGGTGGACGACGACCGACGGGCTAACAGGGTCAGGTTGGTAGGGGGTTTTGGAGAGCAGATGCTGGAGAAGCGATGGTTGGTGAAATAGGTGATTTCTAATGCTAGGATTGATCGAAAAAGGCTTGAAAAGTTGCGGCCCAAAAAGTATCGGTGGCCGACAATTGGCGGAGTAAACAGATGAGGTATGATAGGGGTTTTAGTGAGAGGGCTGAGGGGAGGAAGATGGTGGTGTCGGGGAAGGCCAACAACGTCGGGTACATGCCGAAAAGGCCGAAAATGGCTGTCGCGTGCAGTGGAGTTGGGTTGCGTGATTCTTCAAAAATTGGTCAAATCAAGGGTTATCAAGGCTGGGAAATGATAAAGTGATGATTTCGGTCGATTTTGGTGAGAAAATCAACCGGAATCAACTCCAAACGGCTAGTGGCGAAAGAGGGATGGAGATGATTTATGTGAATGTCAAATTTTGAGATTGAATTGTGGGTGAGTAATTTGAGATACGTAAATGACTATTTTAGCATTTCATTGTTAAAAGAAATTCAATGTGTTAATTTAGGGTTGTAAATTGGAATATATGAAACTAGAGGTATAAACTTGCCATTTTGTCAAACTTTGGGTGGAAATATATTTAAAAAATTTATAATAAATTTGTGCATTTTTGGCTTTTTTTGAGGTCCTCTTAGGCTTACTTGGATAAGAAAATATACACTATTTTTAATTTTGTAATATATTAAAAAATAATTTATAAAAAATTAGGCCCTATTTTACCTTATTTTTGGGGGACCCTAGGCAAGTGCCTCAGCTGCCTACCTCTTGAGCTGGCCCTGGATTTGAGGTGTGGAACACATATATTTGTGGCTCCACTGTTGATTATCCAAACATAATTACGAGAAATATTGAGAGCAATACCTACAAAATTAGACACGTGATCAATTCTACCTCATTGTAGAATGGCAAGTATTTGATCATACTGCTCTTGTGTTAAAGTCGAGGTAGATGAAATGAAAGATTCTTTGGTGCGGATTTGCATTGCATGATCTTGTTGAAGTAACTCATTCACTGCTTTTGCTGCCCTACACGAACAACTTGCAAATGTTATATATGATGCCAATTCATCCCATAAGCTTTTCAACCAAGTGTAATAAACAGTGACAGAGAGATCTCTTTGTAAACAATCTGAAATTCCCTTTTTTACCTCATAAATCTTTGTGCTATTTGGTTGAGAAAAGTGCCCACAAGTCTTCCCAAATTGCTTGAGTTGTATCAACATAAATCTTTGTGCTATTTTTTTTTTATAAGATTAAATGAATTGAAAATGTCAATTTTTTTTGCCCTTATTTATGATAGATGATCACGTTGATGGGAGAAATAACAACAACAACGTGAATAATAATGGGCAGCACAGCCGAATAATTTTCTCCCTTCTCTCAACAATGTAAAGCAATATAGGAACTCAAATGTTACAACCCAATTACACACAAACACAAGCCAATTTTAACGTGGAAAAACCTTCCTGATGTGAGGAGTAAAAAACCACGGGACCGAAGTCCACTCAACAACTCTACCTTTAATCAAATAACGGGTATACAAAGTTCTTCTCTAGCTAGAACTAGAGGCATCCGTCAACACAATCATCAAGAACAAAAGCTTGGTATTACAAAGGAACTTTGAAAGAGATCAAGGAAAAACGAGGTTACTATTCACGGATGAAAAATCTGGTGTAGGGAGCTCCTATTGACAATCTGACCGTTCAGATTGAAGAACCACAGGTCATGAACATGCTGACAAAAATTCAGCTCAATCGGACCACAATTCAACAGCCAATCAGCAGTTTGATGAACCTGTCACAGCTTCCCGAAAACCCAATTTTTCTTCTTCCTCTCTTGCTCTCTCACTCTGCTTCTTCTATTTTTTTCTTATATAAGCAGCAGCCAAATGCTGCATTTTAGTGAAAGATTTTGGGCCTCTTTTCACTTTTTGGGCCTTTCTCCATTAAGGAGTGGCCCGACCCAACACATATCTCTACTAACTTAAAAGGGCAAAAAAAGAGTTTATTTGTTCTATGTTTTACTGTTAAACTTCCATCAAATTACTCATAAAGTATTAGGAATATATAATAATTTTTTGTATTTATCGATGTTATTCTTATAATTAATTCAAAAAACAAAAAATATTGATTTTTGATATAACTTGTAAGGGCATTTGGTTGGGGGTAATGTGAGATTACTAGAGTTATGTCATCTTATATTACTTGATTATCACGTTTGGTTGTCAAAGTAATATAAGATTCCAATAATTTTCAAATACCAATAGTAGTTACTGTTGGTAATATTGGAGGTAATCTGATTACCTTTATTTTCTTAGGTATTCTATAACTACCAGAGTAATCTTTTTTGTTATAATTCTATCCCTTATTAATAAAATTTTAGGATAATAATGCCCTTATTTTTAAATCAATAATACTAACCTCACTAATCTCTCTCACTAACCCCTCTTACTAATCTCATGTGGGAGTTTATGATTGGCTTGATTAGGCGGGACCCATTATTAGACAAGTGGGACCTAGTGAATTAACAAATTATGAACTGACATGTGTTATTAGTGAGAGAAAGTTAGTGAGTGTAGTGTTACTCTTTTTAAATTTATTTACATGAATATGACTTTTACTATTTCACTCAAATTAATTAACTTTTTGGACAAAATTAGCCTTAAATTCAAAATAAATTGCAACCCACCACCCCCACCCACCTGCCGCCGCCTACTGCCGGCAATCACTGCCACAGCAAGCTGTCGCTACAGTCGGAACGGGGCACAGAAAGCCGAAAATGGTCGCTATGCATCGATATGGCCATTTCCGGCCAGATCTTTGGCCGGAAATAGCCATATGGCGCACGGAGGCCATTTCCTGCCTTCCGTGCACTATTAGGTTGCTGGCGGCTGGCAGTGGCTGGGTTGGTGAGGGTGCTTTGTTGATTTTCTAAACTTTTATTATGGAATTGTTTTTGCTAAGTTTTTAATGGAAGAGGTTATAATAATCAATATTAAAAAATAATATAATAATAATATTTCATTAAAGATAATTCAGTAATTTAAATAATATATCCACTAATTTATTTCTCCTAACCAAACATATTAATTATATCCATCAATTTACCAAACACATTTTCTTAAAGATTCCTAGTAATCTTCAAGCTAATATAAATTTTTAGTAATCCAACATTTCCAGTAATCTAATATTCTCTGAACTAAATACACTCTTAGTTTATGTTTTAGTAACTTAGTATTTTTATATTTTATGATTTATAAAATTTAGAATATTATATAAATAATATTACGTCAGCATTAAGCTGACGTATATATCAAATTTCTAATTTTTAAATATTATTATCTATACGAATTTTTATACGAGTAAACAATTTATATAAAATAAAAACTCTGCTTGACATGTGACTTAAAAATAGAGTTAAAAAATTCACTTTAAGAAATAGCAAGCGTAGAGGGGCGGAGGAATCATATATGTCCGTACGAAAACGAGTAGAAATGAAGAGCTGGAGACATCTGATTACATCTTGCGGCTGTGTTCATGCCACGTGTTGGAAAGGTTCGTAAGAAAAACGGCTGTATGGATAATTGGATATTGGACTCACAAAACACTCTCAAAGCTGATTGGTGGTATGGCAAGTCAACAGTACAGGATCTCAGGAATGAAAATAGATCACAGTGAATGAAATGCATCAAAACATAAGGGGTCGATGAGAATAAAGATGGAGAGGTTTAAGGAAGTGGGATTAAAGAAGATGACTGAAAATGTTGCATTTGCAGATTTGGGCTTCAGAAGTAGTAGTGGCCGAACTAGCTTTCAATGGGGTGGAACCGTTTTTGCCTTGTGAGTCACCCCATTTTGTTTTACCCTTTTAATTATTTTGTTCTCTCTCTCTCTTGTTGTTAGCTTCTAGTAGTCCTTGATTTCTGACAATTAAGCTTTCTGTTTTTGGTTGGTGTTTTGCCTGGCTCTCTGTTGTATGAGTCACATGTATAATCTCAGTTGTTCGACATAATTAATCGAAAAAATAAGTGTCATCGATCGAGACCAATGAACACATAGATGTAATGTATTGAAGACTTAAAGTTGATCCTTGAACTGAATTTCTTGATGCAAAAGAATTGATGTAGCTAACCGGAGGGATTGAGTCATAATTGTTTCATTTAGTTAATCCCTGTACAGGATTTTCATTTCTTGATACCTCCTAGTTGTAAATGGTGAATTTATCATTTTTGAGAAACTTGCAATAGTTTATATTAAGATGGTATCATGGATTTTCATTTCTTGATACCTCCTAGTTGTAAATGGTGAATTTATCATTTTTGAGAGACTTGCAATAGTTTATATTAAGATGGTATCATGGATTTTCATTTCTTGATACCTCCTAGTTGTAAATGGTGGATTTATCATTTTTGAGAAACTAGCAATATTAAGCTTTCTGTTTTTGTTTGGTGTTTTGCCTGGCTCTTTGTTAATCCCTGTACATGATTGGACAAGTTTCAATCTCATTCTATTGTTAAAGCATTGAGCGTGCTCTGATATTGGATCTTTTATGTTTCTCTACAGATTTTTGTTACTCCTTAATCGAACAGGACGGCGATCACACTTGCAAACTAACCTTCTAGTGTTGTATCTCTTTACAAGTTTCCCAACTGTATTGTTCAAAATCTTAAGGTGCTTGCCAAGGTTATTTTATTGTGTCTCAGTTGAATTGGATCTATATGCTATTGGATTTACATAAATATTAACATGGAATGATGCAGAGGTCAAGTTGGTTGCTGGGTTGCTTTTCTTGCTGTTGGAGCAAACCTTTTCTATCCTCAAACCTGTCCAGGTATGGAGTTCTTAAATTTCATAACTAGTCATTTTTATTTGTAAATGCCTAAGATATAAAAACACCAATTTTAAAGATCTCTGATAAATTCTGTCTCACTCATATTTACAGTTGCTCGTTTTATCCTATTTGTTATAGCACCAGATTGGCTGGCTGATGAATTGCGTGATGGCATTGCTGCTGGTATTTTTTGTCTTATAATGGGGGTTCTACTAGTTATCATAGAGATTCGAGAAACTAGAGGATTTAGGGATTTTGAATGTAGTTTCTATTGCTTTGGTTATATCATAGGTATATTTTTCTTGTTCTTCTTTACGATATCATATCTATGTTTGGGAACTTGATTAGAAGAGGAGTTTCTGCTTGGATGGAGGTGCACTGTCTCCAGTTTCTAGATTTTATTCAAGCTCACTTCGAGCTATATATCAGAAATTGCTACCTGTAGCTCATGTTTTACTTATGGTGCTCTCTGAACCCGCTTCAAATCAACGCATATGAGGGACTTGAGAAGTATTAAAAATATTGCTGGGTCAAAATCTCAATGAGAGAATTTTTGGAGCCTTAATGTTGCTAGTTCGTGGCTTCACTACTTCTTTGATAGATTTACAAGTATATTTGACTCTGGTTCATGAGGATACTGGATTATGTATGTTTTTGAAGCAAAATTCCAAATCTATTTTGTTCTATACCCTTCTAAAGGGTTAACTTTGAAATTGGGGGCTGGTTTCTTTTGGACTGCACCACAGAGAATATATGAAACTCTGGACTTTCAATATTTGCGTGCTTGTAGTTTGTTAGATTGTTGAATAATGGAGCAAGTACATGCACACAAGTAATGAACTGTGTATAATTACATCCGCTGTAAAATGAATTCCGGCTATGGAAACTTCTCTTGTGTTATTAAATGTAAAATTACTATATTATGTTTCTGAAACTTCATTGTGTTGGAGAATCAATGATTGGTCTGAATAGCCAGAGATTGTTGCTTATTTATCAGGCTTTAGAACTTATTTTTGGTCTCATTAGTTATCTCTTAAAGATTGTATACAAGTCGTAAATTTTTTAGGTCTAGATGGATTGTGAAATGTATGTTTTTCTAAGAACTCAACCGTTTTAGTGTTTCAAGCAAAGGGTTGATGACCGGAAGCAGTTAGGCAGAGGACATCTTGTCTTTCTCTCCAGAAAAAAATGGGTGTGGATTTCCTATTAACTTTGTGTTGTTCTTATGAGCATGTCATAAATTAGCACTTAGTTACTAAGTAGTTATTGATGATAGATGTGAATTTGAGTTGGGAAATTGAGGAACTTCCCCTGCATCATGGCCCAAAGTTGAACTTGATGGCTGCTTCTGACTTTTCCTTCTTCTTCTAGTGGAAATATCGCAGCAGATGCCACCTATGACGACAGTATTTAGAAATTGGTTGGATGGAATTTTTAAAGACAAATTTCTATTCGAATGGTGCTGATTTGTTGCGGTTGGAAGCCTTTGTAAACCATATTTGAACGTAAATTATTGCATATATACTATATTATTGATTTCATATGGCATTTAGATCTTCATATCTAGTTTTTTATTATTCGACCAAGTTTGTCTTATTCAAACCCTCATCTTCAATGAGTTTTTTAACTTTATCTGATCTTTAAGATTCATTTTTTTTTCTTATATATGGTTGGAGACTTGGAGTTGGAAATGGTATGGGGTGGGCTTGGTCAAACATAGAGGAAAAATACTTAACGCGTTCTACTATTCAAAACTCTTGGATGATGTTGCTGATGGTCGACCAATTAAGCACGTATTGAGTGCAGTCAGCATCGCCAATTCAACTTTGGGTTCTAGGAATAATGTTTTTTAGAAAGTAGGTTCAGAGTACAATCCATATATGATGCCTGGAAAAGTATTGTCAGTTTTTAAACATATTGGTGTACCATCTTTCTGATTGTCCATGTTCAATATGGGCTATCTCTGTCTAATTTCTATTTTCATTTTGTCCATGTTATGTTTCTGTTCCTTAAGTCATGCCCAACAGCCTTATGTAGGAATGGCAACAACGGATTGTAACAACGCAGATACTTCAAATTCTGTTCTTGGGTATTCCTGTAATGGCCTGAATAGGAGTTGCCAAGCTTACCTCATTTTCAGGTCTCTACCTCCTTTCGACTCTGTTGTTTCCATCTCCACACTCTTCGCCTCAGACCCATCTCAGCTTTCCCAAATAAATTCAGTTTCTGAGATAGCAACATTTGAGACAAATAAAATGGTGATAGTTCCTATCACCTGCTCTTGTTCAGGTCAGTATTACCAGGCTAACACATCTTATGTTATTAAGAGCGGAGACACTTATTTGTTGATTGCAAATAACCCCTTCCAAGGCTTGTCAACCTGTCAAGCACTCCAGGATCAAAACAGGAATGTCAGTAATAATTTACCTATTGGTACAAGAGTCGTTGTTCCTGTTAGATGTGCCTGCCCCACAAAGAACCAAACTGATGTGGGTGTTCAGTATCTGTTGAGCTACCTAGTCAAGACGGGTGATACTGTTGAAATCATTAGCACAAGATTTGGTGTGGATACTGGGAGGACTCTTGAAGCTAATAGGCTTTCTGAACAATCAACCATTTACCCCTTCACTACACTTCTAGTTCCTTTGGAAAATCCACCAGTGGATTCTCAAACAATAGAGTCACCGCCTCCACCTCCATCTTCAACTTCTAATTCTTCGTCCAGTGAAGGCTCAAAGAAAACATGGATTTATGTTGTAGTAGGGGTCCTTTCAGGAAGTACTCTTTTATTGATTTTGGGGACCATTATTTACTGTAAGTGCTTTGCTAGAAGTAATAACAAGGAGTCTGATTCAATTGTAGTCTCAAAGAGTTTTGAGGCACGTGAGAAACCAATGAAGAAAGAGCTGGATGAAGAATCTCAGGACTTCTTGGACAGTATGTCTAATATAGCTCAATCTCTGGAAGTTTACAATTTTAAAGAACTTCAATCTGCAACTGATAATTTCAGCCCCAGTTGTTTGATTAAAGGATCTGTTTATCGCGGCACAATAAATGGTGATTTTGCTGCCATTAAGAAAATGAACGGAGATGTGTCGAAGGAGATAAATTTGTTGAACAGGATCAATCATTCTAATCTCATCCGCTTATCTGGCATTTGTTTCAATGACGGCAATTGGTATCTGGTTTATGAGTTTGCTGTCAATGGACCCTTGAGTGACTGGATTTTCGACAATAAAAATGAAGGGAAGCTTCTGAATTGGGCACAAAGGATACAGATTGCATTGGATGTGGCCACAGGTCTCAACTATCTGCATAGCTTCACCAATCCTCCTCATGTTCATAAAGATATAAAGAGCAGTAATGTTCTTCTCGATGGTGATTTCAGGGCTAAAATTGCGAACTTTGCTCTAGCAAGGCCAACAGATGGGCAAGAAGGTGAGTTTGCCTTGACAAGGCACATTGTTGGGACTAAAGGTTTCATGGCTCCTGAGTATTTGGAAAATGGTCTAGTTTCCACAAAGCTTGATGTCTATGCATTTGGAGTTCTGATGCTGGAGATACTCACAGGGAAAGAGGCTACTGCATTATATGGTGAGGAGAATATGCATTTATCAGACGCCTTAAATATTGTACTAAACAATGAAGATGGACAAGAAAGTTTGAGGCACTTCATTGATCCTTCAGTGCAAGGGAACTACCCTCTAGAACTTGCCATTTTTGTGATCAGATTGGCCGATAGTTGTTTAAAGAAAAATCCTGCACATCGCCCTGCCATGGATGAAATAGTGCAGTCTCTCTCGAGAATCTTGAAGGCTTCACTGACATGGGAATTGCCAAACAACATCACAGGCTACTAGGGTTGTAGCGGAAGCTCTTAATAGAAGAAACTAAAAGTAGTTCTTGTAAGATTTAGGAAATTAGGTTCCCTTTTTTGTTTCCCTTCCTTCTGCTTTTATGATATGTTATTTTTAACTAAGACTGAAATCTCGTTTCTTTTACTATTGTAGTTTTTATATGTCTAATGAAATTTCATCCAGATTCTTGTAATCTCATTGATTTCAGGTCAAATCCAAAGGGTTATTCTTCTAGATGTATGAGTCATAGGCTCATAGCAATTAGATAGCTTGTTATAAAAGATTGTGAAAGTTTTAATAAGCATGTCTTTATTCCTCATTGGATTATGAATTTGTAGTAAACTGATTTAAAGATGATAGTTGTGAGTTGAAGTAAAACATTATACAGCTTTGATGAATTTTCCCTGCATCTTGGCTTAAAGTCAAATTTGAAGGCTGCTTTTTTCTGTTCTTCCGGCTAATGTCAGCAGTCAGCAATCAGCAATGTAAAAAATATTTTAAAGAGTGCTTGGATGAAGTGAGATAACAAATTACAACCCAAAGTGGTTCCGAATCATATTTGAATGCATTTTCAAGTAATAATCCATTATTGTTTATAATATTATTTTTGGAATGTGTCTCTGGCTCCATTGAGATTTCATATCTAATTGTTTATATTTCTGTTGAAGATCAAGTTTACATTATCTGAGCCATGAATTTTATCAATTTCTGAATGCCACCTGTCTTTAAGATTTTTCTTTTTTAATGCTTGGAGTAGTATGTTATGGACCTGACCAAACTTCTATGAAGCTCAATTCCTTGGCGTTAAGAACAAACATGCTAGAAGATGATAGTGATGGTCAACCATGCATGTAGTGGGTGTGGTCAACGGTTCAATATTCTTAATGATTCTTGCTTCTCATGACCCTGTTCCCAGAAATTTCGCACCACAAAGTCAACATCAAATCCTTGTGAAAATAGTTTCTCTTCAGGAAGTGGGTTTATAGAGCCCACATAAGGTGGTGTCTTGTCTTGATAAGTATTCATCTTTTTTCTAGCAATACATTGACTTGCCCCATTTTTTTTCTTCCATGTTCAACATGGCTTCCCTCACTCTCATTTCTGTTTTTTCTCTGTTGATGCTAAGATTCTGTTCTTTGATTTATGCTCAGCAGCCTTATGTTGGAAAAGCTACAACAGATTGCGACAACATAGGTATTTCAAATTCAAATTCTGTGCTTGGGTACTCCTGTAATGGCCTAATCAGGAATTGCCCAGCTTACCTTATCTTCAGATCTCAGCCTCCTTTCAACACAGTTGTTTCCATCTCTACACTCTTGAACTCTGACCCATCTCACCTCTCTCAAATAAATTCAGTTCCTGAGAGTGCCACGTTCGAATCAAATAAGTTGGTTATAGTTCCTGTCAACTGCTCTTGTTCAGGTCAGTATTACCAGGCAAACACTTCTTACGTTATTCAGCATGATAATACCCATTTCGTTATAGCAAATAATACCTTTCAAGGCTTGTCAACTTGTCAAGCTCTCAAGGAACAAAACAGGATTCTTACTAAGAATTTATACTCTGGTACAAGAATCACTGTTCCTCTGAGATGTGCCTGTCCCACGAAGAACCAATCTGATGTCAATCTCCATTATTTATTGAGCTACGTAGTCACTTGGCGTGATACTATTTCTGGTATTAGTGCAAGATTTGGTGCCGATACTGGGAGGACTCTTGAAGCTAATCGGCTTTCCGAGCAAGCACCTACCATTTATCCCTTCACTACAGTACTAGTGCCTTTACAAAATTTGCCATCAGATACTCAAACAATAGAGCCACCACCACCTCCATCTTCGCCTCCACCTCCGTCTCCATCTCCTAACTCTTCCTCCAATGAAAGCTCAAAGAAAAATTGGATTTATGCCATTGTAGGGATTCTTGCAGGAATTGCTCTTACATTGATCTTTGGTACCATTATTTTCTTTGTAATTTTTTGTCGAAGTAAGAAAGAGCCTGAGTCAATTATCGTCCCAAAGGTCGTTGAGGAACGTGAAAGACCATTAAACAAGAAGTTGGATGAAGAATCTCAGGACTTCTTGGACAGTATGTCTAGTATAGCTCAATCTCTGGAAGTGTACAATTTTAAAGAACTTCAATCTGCAACTGATAATTTCAGCCCCAGTTGTTTGATTAAAGGATCTGTTTATCGCGGCACAATAAATGGTGATTTTGCTGCCATTAAGAAAATGAACGGAGATGTGTCGAAGGAGATAAATTTATTGAACAAGATCAATCATTCTAGTCTAATCCGCCTATCTGGCATTTGTTTCAATGATGGGAATTGGTATTTGGTTTATGAGTTTGCTGACAATGGACCCTTGAGTGACTGGATTTATGACAACAAGAATGAAGGGAAGGTTTTGAATTGGGCACAAAGAATACAAATTGCATTGGATGTGGCCACAGGTCTTAACTATCTGCATAGCTTCACCAGCCCTCCTCATGTTCACCAGGATATCAATAGCAGTAATATCCTACTTGACAGTGATTTTAGGGCTAAAATAGCAAACTTTGCTCTAGCAAGGTCGACAGAGGGGAAGGAAGGTGAGTTTGCCTTGACAAGGCACATTGTAGGGACTAAAGGTTTTATGGCTCCCGAGTATTTGGAAAACGGTCTGGTTTCCACAAAGCTTGATGTCTATGCATTTGGAGTTCTGATGCTGGAGATACTCACTGGGAAAGAGGCTGCTGCATTGAATGGAGAAGAGAATATGTATTTATCAGATGCCTTGGATGTTGTGCTTAAAGATGGACAAGAGAATTTGCGGCACTTCGTAGATCACTCTATGCAAGGGAACTATCCTTCAGAACTTGCTATAATTGTGATCACAATGACCGAAAGTTGCTTGAAGAAAAATCCTACTCATCGCCCAGCCATGGATGAAATAGTGCAGTCTCTTTCGACAATCTTGAACGCTTCACTGACTTGGGAATTGTCAAACACCGTCTCACGCTAGACGCTACTAGATTGTAGTTGGAGCTCTTCAGGGAAAAAAGTAAGAACTTCAACTGTAATTTTTTGCAGCTTCTCTTTTTATGCCTTCCTCTTTGTTTTTTTAATGACTTAAGACTTTAAGTATTTATTTGTCTGGTTTTGTACCTCATTTTCATGCATTATAGTTCGAATTGTGATGCTAAAGTCTGCTACTAATCCAAGGAAAATGAAGAGTCGCATTAAAATCTCAGTTAATATATTCTTAAATTAATACTAGAAACTATTTTTCTCTTAACTTGTAAGACTATCAACTTCATCTTTCTCAAAGTCTCTTCCAATTACATCATCAAATTTTATGAATTGAATTTAGAAAGAAAGATAAGTGATTGAAACAATTTCACTCACCGGTTCCAAACACTACATGTTCTTCCAGAAATTTTCAATATTAACACTTTCAGCCAAAATTGACAAACGTTTCATAACAAATGATGAAGGATAGAAAATTATAATTTAATTTATTATTTTATTTTTCTATAGCACCAAGCCACCTCCTCATCCAAACAGGACCAAGCCCAGGTGACAACCAGCACATCTTCATCCAACAATTTCTGAGTATTTCAAATCCCACAACCAGAGGTTCTGGCAAAAGTCTTAGAAGGCAGCGGCTGTGACCTCAAGCAAGGCCGCCGTTGTGGTCTTCTGAGGCCAACCCAAGACCTCTCGTAGTGCATCTGGGCATTTTAATAACCACCTTCTGGGTATTTTGACAACCACCTCCTGGGTTTTTAACCACTGTGCGGCCTCTCGTTGAATTACTTCAGGTTTTCAGAATACATGTCAAACAAATCAATATCACATTAACATTACAGATGAAGACTCACAACTTTTGTCTAAAACAAGCAAGTTCTTTCTTCTGAAATGTTTCAAATGGCAATTTAACATGACAGCTAAATTGCTTGGTCCTAAATTTTCTTTCTTCAACAAATACAAAATGAAAACCTCCGCTAGTCAAGGATGGACGAATTTCCATAACCCTCGTTAAATTGAGTGTTATGCTTATTATTGATAAATTAGGTGGGTCAAAATAATATCACTAGTTTGTGCATTTACAGTTTGACGATCAACAATTGATTAGTATATAAAGGATAAGCAGGCTACATACAAAAGTCGGAAATGTTTGCTAAACACCAGGAAGCCATTAATTCTCTTTGAACAAAGCAAATATTACAATTCATTAAGTCATACTAGGATATAACTCTATTTATTAAATGTTGGGTTTTTTTTTACTTTTTTTTTTTCTTTCTTTGATAAATATTACACTTTAATATGTACCCTTAACCCATGATTAACACAATCCAAATTATCAGTCTAAAGCATGACAGACTTCGGATTTTTAGGTACTTATATTTCAGCTCCATCCTCGTTCACGCGCATAATATATCAACATCACCTCACTCCTAAATAATTAAAAAATAATTTTTTTCTTGATTTTCAACAAAACATCAATAAAAAATTCTCCAAGGAAAAAATCAACGACGTTTCTCAAGTTTAAGAGTCATTTTAAAGAGTATGCAGACTTTTTTTCCACCCAAGGTTTCCTTTAATGATATTTTCTAGTTAAAAAGTTTTACAATATTATTTTTTTAATTAAAATTAATATTTCATTATTATCCAAAGTTAATTTTGATGGTAAAATTTTTATTCGTCATCACTATTTGAACCTCTAATATCCTCTATATAAAACTCCTCTCGATGATTGTTAGTCACCACAAAGTAGGAGTTTCATATTCTTAATTAATGTTTAAATTAGGATAAATTTATCTACACTATTAAAATAATAGTGAAAAGAAATCAGTTTTAACTTATCCATTATCGTGAACACATCAATTTTAGAAACCATTTTTATTCTATTTGGTTAACCACTTAATCAACTGAGTTAAACATTTTTTAGATAGAAATTCGTTAATAAGACGTGTTATAAGAGGTAAGCATTTACTTTAAAATAGACATCTTTATCAAATAAATTAAAATCTCTGTGTCTTTGTCAAAATATAATTTTTTTAAAAGGCTATGTCTTTAACGAGGACTTAAAAATGATTAGTCTTTGCATGATTTGTCATGAGATATCAGTTTTATGATCATAATGCATACATTTCTTAACCTTTGTGCAAATTCAAATACAAATACAAGTTCTCTGTTGAAAATGCTCATACTAAATCCTNAAATAAATTAAAATCTCTATGTCTTTGTCAAAATATAATTTTTTTTTTTAAAAGGCTATGTCTTTAACGAGGACTTAAAAATGATTTGTGTTTGCATGATTTGTCATGAGAAATCAGTTTTATCATCATAATGCATACATTTCTTAACTTTTGTGCAAATTCAAATACAAATACAAGTTCTCTGTTGAAAATGCTCATACTAAATCCTGAGTGTTTTGCGTTTGCCCCCAAATTCTACATCAATGTCATGATATGGTATTTATGCAGATTTGCTCAAACTAGAATTGATATGGTTACATAATGAAGAGAATTGGCAACTATCTACTGGAAGTCTGGCAATATATTGATCTCAATTTCTAACTTTAATGAAATTATTTAAGGGATGAACAATTACCACTGCTTTTTGTTTAAAAATATATTAGGTCATATAAGTATACATGTTAATAAGTATATAACTCTATCGTCTCAAGAGGTTGATTTAATAGTCAAGAAGAACTATTTTTTTCATTGATTTTTAGAGCTCGAACATCTTGGGATTAACTATTATATTTACCTATATTCTTTTTCTACCTTTTTTTTTCTTTTTCTTTCTTTCTTTGATAAATATTACACTTTGATACATACAGTTAATCCATGATTAACACAATCCAAATTATCAGTCTAAACTCTAAAGCATGAGAGACTTCGGATTTTAAGGTACTTGTATTTCAGCCCGATCCTCATTCACGCGCATAATACGTCAACATCACTTCACTCCTAAATAATTAAATGCTTAATTAAAAAACATTTTTTTCTTAATTTTCAACAAAACATCAATAAAAAATAAAAAAAATTTCCTAGTAAAAAACCAACGGACCGTTTCTCAAGTTTAAGTCATTTTAAAGAGCAAACGACTTTTACCCACCCAAGTTTTGCCTTAATGACACTTCTTCGTTAAAAAAGTTTTAAAATATCATTTTTTAATCTAAAATTTATATTTTATTAATACTTAAAATACACTTTACTTTCTCAGCTGATCTTCGGCGAGTAACCAGAAGTCAGGGTAAGAAGGTTTTTATAGAGTAGAGATTGATGGGTTGAATAGTGGTGAATGATTGAATATTCGCCGCTAGAATCAGCATGACATTAACTAAGAACAAAAAAACCATAGTTTTGCGATGACTGACAATTGACAAGAAATCAAGTGTCAAAGTGAAAGGGGTTTCGTAGAAAGGATATCGGAGGTCCAAATGATAGTGACAGAAAAAATTTTTGCTGTCGAAATCAGCTTTAAATAGTAATGAAATATTAATTTTAGGTGGAAAAGTGGTATTTTAAAACTTTTAGGGAGAGAAAATGTCATTAAGGCAAAACTCGGGTGGGAAAAAGTCGTTAGTCCATTTTAAAATATATCTAAATTTGGTTAGTCAAGGATTGATTTGGACGATGTACCAACTAAAAAGCCTTTAAATAGACTAATTACTTAATTTTAAATCATTGGAGACTTGGTTTTTGAAAGCCTCTGGAAATCATACTAGGTCAAACATGGTTGTTATATCTATGTAAGACGTTAATGCACTTAGGCCTTGCAGGGTTAAACAATTTGATCAACTATCTTCCGACATATTGTTAAATCAAAGAAAGTTCCTTATGGATCAGATTCTGCTGGTTTTTTTCATTCTTTTCTGCTTTTTATTTTCAAACATCACTGCTCAACAAAGTTACTCAGGCAACTCAGTTCTGGACTGTGATAACACTGATGAAACAGGTCCATCTCCAGCTTTTCTTTACACTTGTAATGGTAAAAATCAATCCTGTGGAGCCTTTCTCATCTTCAAATCTCAACCTCCTTATGATACAGTCTCCACCATATCAAAACTCACATCTTCAGACCCATCTGAACTTGGTCGCATCAACGATATCTCAACTTTTACTGAAGTCTTACCTACAGATAAAGAGGTGATTGTTCCTGTAAATTGTTCCTGTTCAGGTCAGTATTATCAGGCCAACACCTCTTTCATTATTCCTACCATATATGACACTTATTTCACCATCGCCAATAACACATACCAGGGTCTGTCAACTTGTAACATTCTTATGCGTGAGAACAATTATAGTGCAACCAAATTACATCCTGGTTTGATTTTACAAGTACCACTTAGATGTGCTTGTCCCACAAATAATCAAACTGTAAATGGCACCAAATTTCTTTTTACATATTTGGTTAGCTGGGGTGATAATGTTCCTGATATTAGCAAGAGATTTAATGTTAGTAAAGAAAGTATAGTTTATGCCAATGGGTTTACTGAAGATGATCCACCTATATATCCCTTTACAACAATTCTTATTCCACTGCCAACTGAACCTTTAAGCTCCCAAACCATAATTCACCACTCTCCACCATCCAATTCTCCTCCATTTGTACCAAATGATAACCACAACAAGAAGAGGTCAAGGAAAGGGATTTATCTTTGGACTGGAATAGGAATTTCTCTGCTAGTCCTCTGCTTTGTTCTGTCTATAGTCTTATTCCATTTCAAAAAGAAGAAAGACAAGGCTTCACAAATCCATGGAGGGGGAAAAAAGAAACAGGATTTACCAGAGGGTTTCCTAGTTGATATTGCTACAGTCGATCAAGGATTGAAATTCTTCAGACATGAAGAATTGAATAAGGCTACCGAAAATTTCAGCACCGAAAATAAGATAAACGGTTCAGTTTATCGCGGGGTACTAGAAGGAAAAACAGTAGCAATAAAACAAATGAACAAAAATGTATCCAAGGAGGTGAATCTGCTGAAAAAGATCAACCACTTCAATCTGATCAGCCTCTGTGGAGCATGTGAGCATCAAGGGAGTTTTTACCTTGTTTATGAATTCATGGAGAACGGTTCTCTAAGGGATTGGCTCCAAAATAAGAGGTATCCGGAATTTGAGAGTTGGTATTACAGGTTTCAGATTGCTTTGGATGTTGCTTATGGACTTCATTATCTTCATAACTGCACTCATCCTGGATATGTGCACAAGGACATAAGCAGTAGCAATGTTTTGCTTGACAAAGATTTAAGGGCTAAGATTGCAAATTTCAGTCTCGCGCGTTCAGCTGTGAGGGAAGAAAGTGGGTATTCATCTGTAAGGAGTTCTTTCGGAACGAAAGGTTACATGGCACCTGAATATATGGAATATGGCTTGGTGACATATGAGATGGATACATATGCCTTCGGAGTTATTGTTCTGGAATTGCTTTCAGGAAAAGAAGCAGTTTATTTGCAGAATGGAAAAGAAGTGCTACTAGCTGAAGCAGCTTCTTCTATTATGGAAGGAAGAAATGCAGAAGCTAATCTTCGTTGCCTGATAGATCCTAATCTCCAAGCGGAAAACAAGATGCAACATGCTCAGCGTATGATAAAGTTAAGTCTAGCCTGCACGGCTGAAGAACCATAAAGCAGACCAAGCATGGCTGAAGTGGTTTCGTCCTTGATGAGGATTCAATTGGATATGCAAAGATCAGAACCTTTATTTTTGGAGCGGGTTTAAAGTATGATAAAGATGTCAACATTGCTTTCTTTCATTTTCTGATCACTTTGTTTTAAAATTGAATTGCAATAATCTTTAGTTCTGTAATACATGTTACAGAGGAAGTAAATAAGATATAAATGTAATTACAAGGTTGGTTTTATACTTACTAATGTTGCTATTCATACCAGGGAAACCAACTACAATAAAAATATGAGATAACCAAAATCAGAAAGAGTGTATACAGATATTTCATTATAATAAACATGAATAATATGAGATCTACTTTGGCAGATTACGTTAATTCAGTTCATCAACGAGCTTTGACTGGACTGATAACCTGAAGAACTTCTTCTGCTTCTAATCCAGTAGTCCAAGACCTTTCTAATGTCTCTGAAGAGTGAGCGAGAATGGAGAGGCCGAAGACGACTTCTCCCATACTTGGCCTTGACAAAGGCTTCTCCACAGTGCACGCCCTTGCCAATGTTGCCAAGCTCATCGCGCCATCAATTGGATAGAAGCTCTCCAAGTATGGGTCCATCCAATTTCTTAGTCTCTGCTCTCTCTTCTCTTCAATTTTCAAGACCTCGGATATCTCCTTCCACAGCATAAAAGTCTCACCGTTTTCTTTAGTCCTCATAGCTTTCTTTCCGGAAAGCAACTCTAACAGAACGACCCCAAAAGCAAACACGTCAACTTTTGGCATCACATCATTCGTGGCTGGTGTAGCCAATGAGAAATTTGCTATCTTGGCCTTAAACCGGCAGTCTAAAAGTATATTGGCTGTTCTGATATCCCGATGAACAATACTGGGTTGAGTATGTTCATGCATGTATTGCAGGCCATTGGCAACATCCAGTGCTACATGTAACCTCTGGCTCCAAGTAAGAAAAGCTGCAGATCCAGAAGAGGTTGAAGATTTGGGGTGCAACCACTTACCCAGCGACCCATTTTCAGCATATTCATAAACCAATAAGCGGTTTCCCTCAAAATCTGATGAGACACCTATCAATTTCACAAGATTAGCATGGTTTACTCTCTGTAGAATGCTTAGCTCCTCTGTGACATTTTCCTTGATATTCTTTACAGCTAGGACCTTTCCGTTAATGGTTGCCCTGTACACTGATCTTCCAATCCTGTACTGTTCACTTAGGTTCATGGTGGCCTCCATAATCACTTTAATCTCATACACGATTGGCTTGCTCAGATAGCCTGAAACCCCTGGAAGTAGTTTATCCTGTATAATCTTTGGCCCGAAACTTTCACTATTTCCAAATTTCTTCACTGGAATCAAATCAGAACTCTCCAAAGAGGAACCATTGCGACTCAATGTCCTTCTTCTTTTCCTGTGAAGACCATGAGTGTAAACCGCCCACGCTGCTAACAGTAAAATCAGAAAAGCACCTCCAATGCTTATAGCCGCGATCATAATGCAATGTTGTTTGGATTCTTTTCTTCTTGGAGGAGAAGGATATGATTGAGAGAGAACTGGTAGTTGTGACACTGGAATCAATACTGGTTGATATACTGCATCACTAAAATTTCTGTACTTATTTTCAGTTTCAATATCAGATGGTGATGCATTTAGGTTAGCACCTACATGCCATACATTATCAGTAGGCTGCCATACATAAGTAATTAGATATTCGATTCCCTTCTCCAAATGAGTCTTTGAAGGGCACTGACAGAACAAGGGAAAGGTCACATTTTCATCAACCTGCAAGAGGTTTGGATTCAGACTGGGATTCATCTCTTTCACAACTTGCCATTTGGTGAGGTTTTCGAATGAATTGATTGAAACTAAGTAATAGCTATCATCTTTCTTGATCTGATAAGTGATATTGGCAAAATATTGGTTTCCAGTGCAACCACAGGTTATAGGTACCAGCAGGAGTTGGTTTGGAAATAATAGTAAATCCTCAGAAACTAAGTTACTGGCTCTTGCAATCGACGAGCGATTGACCCCAAACAAAGAAGATATGTTACCCAGGTCCATGAATCCTGGTGACTGGGCAAGGTATGTGACATATGATTTGCATGAGGCAGGCGAATTTGTAGAGCATGAAAAGTCTGTTCCGTTAACGGGTGGTGATTGAGCTTTGATGTGGGTGACGAGGAATGACAAAAACAAGAAAAAAAGAGCTTCCCAGGAAAGCAAAGAAATTGTCATTGATCTGAGCTTGGTAGGTTGAGCAGTTGGTAGTTAATGTTTACGAGTGTTATATGATAGAAAGCTGTTTGTGGAGTCTCACTTCAGGTTGATAGAAAAGTTTAGCAGATTGCTATCATGAAACTTTCGATCCTAATAAAAATGATTCCCTGAATAAAATCCAAGGGCTTTTGTCGTTAGCTTTGATTGGAAATGGTTCTCATTGTTTTCTCCTCCTATACGACATTTTCAGACGCATAAAAGTACTTGGTATAGCACTATCTGAGATATAGTCATGCGCAAAAGAAAATCAAAGGCGACGAAACCTCTATTTCTTTCTCATTTTTCAGGAATATGTTCCCTTTTCGCTAAATATCCGTCATAATCATCTGATTAATTTAATTAAAGAACCGTTGGCGACGGCAAGCAGTTGTCCTTCCTACACATTAAAAATTAAGAAGTCAGCTAGCCGTTTTTCTGTAAACAACTAATATGATGGCTACACTAGGATTGTTTAATACAGCAAAAGAATATTCTGATCGTTCCTGCACTGTAGCGTCATTACTCAATGACAAGACCTAATATACAGATGCCCGATCCAGAGATTTCCAATGTGCTACCACAAGTTCTTACATGTAGGATTCTACTGCCCCCTGACCACCTGCAGTTTGGTTGGTTGGAAACATCCACTGAAGTTGGGGGTTTAAATCCTTTCGAGTGAGGATAAACTAGAGCATACAGACGAAGGAGATTAATCCAATTGAAAGGGTTTCTACTGCGTGATGACTTTGTGAATAATGAGCGCATATCTTATCCACAACCTTGGGCGGTGCGCACAGACAACCCATGAGAACTAAGGCAATCATGCTGGAAAGATACAAAGGAAAAGAGAAGAAATGCTCTTGGTAAAAGTAAGAAGTTGATTTTACTAGCATTTACAATGCAAACCCAACAAGTATATTAATTAGGCATTGTATTGTAAACAATGTAAAAGCTAAGTCATATAAGGTGTATGTGCATCCAAAATTCCTAATCATATCAAACAAAGAGCTGAAAATTTATGGAAGGAAGTTCAGTGTTTAAGAACATGCAAATATAATGCCCAGAATCTACTTTCTGCAATTGTTTGAGCAAACCAGAAAGCACAATCTCATCTCGTTAACCTCTTGTCTTCCTTCAAAATATATATTACCATTAAAGATTTAGAAGACCGTTTTTCATTCTTGCTAACGTGATAAAAAGAAGCCGAGTACAGAACAAAACCTAAATTGAGAAAGAAACCATCGAGACAAAGGTATTAATATTTGGCTTTATAAAATATCATTGTTTTCCAAAATTTAACTGCTCATTGACGAGAAACTGTTCAAATAAATATTATAAACTCTTGTGAGATCCGCAGAGTTAACTGTCCATATATGACCACGCAATGCCAGTGGAAGGACATCATTTATCTCCTCACATCTCTCTTCTACAAAAGCAGCCTCTTTTCGCTTGCCTTCCTTCCAAAGACTCTTCACAAGCAATTCCTTGGTAGCAGCATCAGGCGTCAAATTAGAATTGCTGAGGTCTTCAAAAACCCTATATGCAAGAGCAGCTCTCTCACATTTGCAATAAGCTTGAATTAGGACCTTATACATATAAGCATCTGGCTCTACACCACTCTGCCTAACCATTGTGAACAACTTCTGTACAGTTTTAATATCTCCCTGCAGTGCAAAATGATACATCAACCCCGAAAATGTTTGAATATCAGGGCAAACACCACTTAAAATCATTTCTTCAAGTACATTTATGGCATCAGAATTCCTCTTACACTTGGTCAACGTTCGCAATAGAGATGAATATAACAGCATCAAGTTAAATTTTGAAACTGGACCACAGAGTGTTCTATCATCATAAAAGACTTTTAAAGCTGCATCAGCTTTCTTAGAAACGCCATAAAAATCAATGATTAACCTGATAGTGCTGAAGTGCAACCTTATTCCCTCCCTTCTTATTTTGGATATGAGTCTGTCAACCAATTCAACATGTCCACGACGTGTTAAAATAGCCATCATCCTTTCCACTGCGTAAACATCATGAGTATACCCTGGCTGATAAGCAACCCAACAGAAGAAATCCCACGCAGTTTCTGGTGATTTGAAATGCCTAAGAACCTTGCAAACCAACCTAGTTGTCCACACAAATTTAGCATCCTCCAACACAGATACCACCTCAGGGCTCCATTCATTTAATGCATTTGCCAATTCTTTTGGATCCAACCATGGTTTCAATTGAATTTCATCCACCTTTCCCTCCCCACAATCATTATTAAAAATGCCATCCTCATCCTCATCACTACTATCCTCACAATATTGTACACTCTTTATTCTCTCATCTGGTAACATTTCCCTCAGAATATCATCAGTCTCCTCAACAAACCCAGCCTCCTGCATACATTGCAAAGACACACGCATGGACCTACCAGGAAACTTCCCATCATTCCGCATTTCATTGAGCAATGTTTTAACCTCATCAAACTGCCCAACCCCAACAAATCGCTCCACCAATACAGAAAACTGCTTCAACGTCCTCTTTATCCTCATCAACGGCAATATAGTAAAAATCTTCATTGCTGAATCCAATTTTCCGCAACTTACAAGGTGATCAATCATAACAGTATAAGTCCTGGAATTTGGAATCGCTCCTTCATCAATTATTTTGCTAAATGTCTCCACAGCTTCAAAATTTTTACCCTTTTTTGCATAAACGCTCATTACAATGTTATAAGACTCGGTGCACGCACGCTTCTCCGTTTGTCTATACTCATTCCATGTATTTGTAACCAGGTCAAGGTCACCAATTGCACTATACCATTGCATGAGGTTCATAAAACTAACACTACAATTCCTAAACCTACCAGAACTAATGTCGCCAATGAGGGTCTTAAATTCAGCACTTCGTCGAGACTTTGCTAAAACTGTGGCTAGGGCGTGGAGGGTAGCTTGTGTATGCGAGAAATGAGGACTTGCTTCAAGATTTTGAATGATGCGGAGCGCACAGTCCGCATTGGGAGCGGAACGAATTGCGTGAATCACAATGAAGGAGTCTATAAGACGATCGTTAAGAAGAGCAGAGGAGTTGGGTGAGTTGGAACGGAGAGCAAGCCTGATAGAGTCGATAAGTTGTGCTCTGCGGAGATAGTGGGTAAGTTTGTTGGTGAATGGAGCACGCACATAAAAACGAGTTTGCAACTGGGCTAAGGTTTTTGAGAGGTTTATAGGAGGCAAAAACCGATTAACAAACATTTCTAACAAGTGAGGACTGTAACAATTACTTGTCTGTTGCTTTTAAGACGTAATGAGAAAGACTGGGTACTACATTGGAATTGTCATAATATCAAACAACTGGTGTGCATGGGACTGAGATTTGAGAGAGACAGGATTCTTATGTATCAGCTTATGTAGATTCCAAAAGCAGTTAACCCATGTCATAGAACTAGACACAATAGAAGATTACTCTTGTTCAATTCCCGCCTACATTCGATAACAAAACCTTATTTCTATTTGCACTTTGCAGTGGAAGTAAAACGGCAGCCCATAACAGGTCTGGTAATCGGGTTAGACCCGATATGACTTCTGGGTGTCAGTGTCACATCTAATATGATTAAATTGGCAGCGATATCCTCCGAGCTAAAATGGAAAAATGAACATGTGATTCTACTATATCTTCGGGTTAGGTTAAATCGGATCGTTTTAACCATGTTATGCCCTTTTACTAATTTTCTTTTTTAATTTCTTGAATTATCTGTTACCTATTCATATGACAAAATGAATAACTTGAGAGGTCCTAAATTCAATCAATCTAGGTAAGATGACTATTGAAAAAACTTACTCAATTGTCAATTTTAAAACCTTAAATGATTAGCTGAAGTATCGTAAACTAGTCTGAACACGCTCGACTACAACAAAAAAAAAAAAAAAATTTGAATAACTCAAGTAGGGCCCAACGGCCAATGTTGTGTTCAATTTTCAACCTTTTAATTAACTAAATATTGGCTCTTGATTATTCAGAATGCTAAGCGAGAACAGAAATAGAGGATAAAAAAAACATATGAACATAATACTATATTTATTTGTATAATGTTCCTTTATAAGGGTTCTGAATACATTCTATGTTTGGTAAATTGTTTAAGAAAAATTATAGCATTTATACATGAAACTAGCATTTTTTTATCACTTATTTTTTGGGGGGGCGTGATGTTTTGATCCATGTGGTATGGATATGGTTTGTTCTAAAAAGCTATGCAATCAACAAGGAAAATTTCCAGTAAGACGGATGTGTTCCAGAGTCCCCCTGAGGCCATACTTGCTCACTGCCTGGTTACCTTCCCTAAATCCATCTCCATAAGATGATGATGATCTGACTCGATCTGGTGTTTAAAAAATTCACCAAGCTTCTCTCAAAGTCAGAACGTTTACCCTTCTTAGTTGAGCAGGCAAGGGTGGTGATGATGATGATGAGAAGAGGGGAAAGACGTGAAGCAACATTTGAGCCGGAGCCAGAGCTAGAATAGTTTCAGAATCCAACCCAATGAGCCAACACCTGACATATACTTCTTCAACTTCTGGTTTCAAATTGGGATACCTGTCAAATACCCCTTTAGAGCTTCCTGTTCAATAAAATAAAAATTTGAGTATGATTAACTTGCTGTTCATAGACAAATAAAACCTTGGTTTGTCCTAGAAAAATCGTCTTTCTTTTCTCTTTGTTCATTTCGGTCGAGGGTTGTGCTGTCTTTCGGCATGTGAGAGTGTTCCTGCGTAAAAACTGGGAACAGCCTGTGTTGTTGTAGACCACACACCAATAAACCAGTCATGATACAATGGAATCATGGACACTAGAGACTTCGCGCCAACAGGGACGGAAGAATACTCATGATACCGTACAAATGAACGATTGCTGCCCTTCACAGCCACGCATTAGCCTATACACAGTGCTACTTTTCTCATGTCTACAACGATACCACTCCAACTCCTCTCTCCGTGCAACCTGGTAAGTAATGTATACAAGTTACCACTTTTAACATTAACGTTGTATCCTTGCTCAACTAGCAGAGCCGGGCAAAGGCCTGTGAGAAAATTTTTCTACACAGGGGATCAAAATATAAGCACATCCTCGCGATAAAAAATCAGACAATACAACACTACTGACAAACATACCCCCGTGTGCTGTAAACACAGATCACAGTTGCACAGCCGACACACAGAAGTATAAGACACTCCCATCAACACTAAAACGTGGAAGCGGAATGTAGTGTATGTCGTTACTGTGAAAAGGTTACAACAAAGATAGAGGACGAAACGAGGGGAAATAGCGTGTGCTTATGCAGTGTGGTGGCCCCTGCAACACAAGAGACGCGGGGGTGCATGTGGGGAGAGTGCGTGGCGCGCACCAAAGTAAAGAACGGCTGGGCACGGCATATGGAAGCAACATTCATCAAGATACCGATTCAGTAAAGCTGGTTTGGCAATGCCAGGATATAACCATTAGGGCGAGGTCTCAAACACGCCAACCAACTGATGCGGCACGCAGCAGGGCAAGGCTGAGAAAGAGTCTTACTTCGTGCCATAGCGGGAGACTCGAGGTGTGCCGTCACTGAGATGAGCGTACAACAAGCCGAGAAGGAGAGTATGACCAAAAAGGCACATACTACGATCACCAGAGGTCAGACGTGTAGATGAAGGAAGGGATAGGGGGGAGTGAGACGGTTTCAAAATGGAAGTGATCAATGACAGGGTGGTGGCGGGCGTTAGGGAGATCCTCAGCTAGATCACTCATCGAAGGGGGCCGAGGCTCGAGAGCGGCGTCGTGTGTGGGGCCGGCAACTCTGCTCCAGTGCGTGTGCACCACGGCCACAACAGGACTCCCAGCCCTCAAGTGCAGGGAAACTCAGGCGCAAGGACGAAGTGGCGGAAACTCGGGTGCCTCGAGACGCAAGAGGCTCACCTGCAGGAAATAAGGGAAACCGAGAGAAAAACGAAAGAGGTTGGAGGCTGAAAGAAGACAAAAGCGTGAATGCCAGCCGCAAAGAAGAAATAGGGATCAGGGGCTACGCGGAAAACAAGATGGAGGCGAAAGAAGTGGGAAAGAACACAGTAACACAGGAATATGTGAAAGCCTAACATCTCGTGTGCTAAATGTGAGCGCGGATAGCGGGAAAAAAAAAAAAAAAACGGGACAACCACACAGTAGAACATTGTAAACGATCAATAGTTGTGTAACATATGTACACCAACAGGCAAAGAAGCGTATAATAACTCCAAAAAATAGCCTGCATCGAGGGCCATGACCGACAAAAGTGTAGCAATCAACAAGTCCAGCACAGGAGCCCAAACTAGATCTGTATAGGATCATTAAGGTGTGATGACGAGGCTTTGGTATTTAGTGTATCGCACAAACATGAGGAAAATGAGTTCATTGCGTATATGAACACGCGAAACTGCACAATAACATTAAAACGGGAGTTAAATCCCATGTCGTGTACCCTAACGGTTCATCAACAGTTCAGATTGAGGTACACCGCCGTTACTGATGTCTCTTAGAACGAGCGCAAATTGGCATAATTCGGTGTGGGCCAACAAGGGTCTGGTTCCCCCCCCCCCAACCTTCAGCCAGTGACACAGATAACTGAATGGGAAGAACTGATTAAATTTTTTTTTCAGATAATGTGGTCGTGAAAGTATTAAGTTGACACCAATATACAATTCTGCTGTCTCAGCTTTGAGTATCCGGTTTTGAGATCTACTCCCGTCGTGGCATCATTCAGATATAAACCAAAATCCAACTATTTTGAGCAAAAAGGAACAAGAGCTAGGTTGAGGAGCACTAAGCCCCGGCAAAAATAAAGTCCAGCCAAGGTCCTCGACGGAAAACACTACCCCAATACACGGAAAAGCGGTCCGCGATGCGCAGAGTTAAGGGAACAACCACCGAAATGTTTAGGTAGATGCACTAACAGAAAACCAAAAGATATGCAGTATAACGGATAACAAAGCGTAACCAAAATGGTGGGAGAGATCGGTGGGTGGGCAATAAACAAAAATAAAGAGTCTGTGGTGGGGGAGAATGTGGGGATAGGTGTAGAGGGGTGGGGGAATCCTGGCTGTGGCATTGAGAAGGGGGAGGAGTGTGGGTTCTGAGTTTGGCAATGTGGGTTATCAAGGCTGTGTGGACACAGCGCGGGGGGCACAAAAAAAGGTGTGGGCCAAGGCGCGGACGTGTGGGCCAAGGAGAGTTCAACCCATGTCCCGAAAGACCCATGACCCAGCCCAATTATTGGATTATTAAGAGGGTGTTCCAATCAATTGGATCAGAGCATGATCCTGCGTCTATGTGGCAGTGCACGCGTGGCAGGGCGACCCGTGGCAGGCTGACCTTGGGCCCGGGCTGCTACCCCGAGAAAGGGCATGGAGGCCCGAGGGAAAAGGGGTCCCGTAGTCACCCAAGGGCAAAGAGGCCGACGGGTAAAGAGGCCGACGTGGACGTCGGTGCGGAAGCGTGGTGGAATGGGATCTCACATTGAAAGGGAAAAGGGTGCATGTGGGTTATAACTGGGCACCCTCCCTTGGCAAGCCGGTTTTCCAAGGAGAGTTTCTACCAAGCCCTTGAAAGACCCATGCCACCCACCCATTAGAGTATGAGTAAGTGGGTTCCAATCACTTAGTGAGAGATGGAAAAAAAAAAAAAAAAGGTTATTATAGCACTAACATGGGAAAATACTTAAAAGTTGGCAGACATCACATTTGGGTGATGTTGCTCCTTATAGCAGTGTTGTGAAAGGACGACTCCCGGACATTGAAAACTGTCATAGAAGGATATATCAAATTAGCCATACCCTCCATTCACTGGTTATTGAAAAACCACCCATACTAACAGCAAAATTTGCCAAGAATTCAAGCAGGTGTTTAACTGCTCAAATTAATTTATCATTCAAGTTTTATAAAATTTAAACCCGATATCTGTAATTGGTTGATTACAACCATGGCAACGGAAGCATTCAGGATGCCAAAAAGCACCCATGCAACTTAAGTATCTTCCATGACCAATCTCAATATTGCAACCGCACATTCCTATGAGAAATACATTTTCAACACCAGGTTAGGATTGTTTGATATCTAAGTAAAAAAAGACTAGAAACATAAGAAGCAGATTATATAAAAGACACAATAATATTGTTACATAATATTTATGCATGCAAATTCATGATGTTACATAAGGATGTAATGCACCCCAACTTTATCACATTTAGCTTTTGCCAATGTCAAATTGTCATGTCATTCTACTAACTTGAAAATGATAATTTCAAACGAGCCACTATAAAATGCAAAATTCTTGATTGTCACATTATAATTAACCATGTCAAGTACTTCCCAAGTCATGTCTCCTTGAAGAACAAAAGTTCAAATTGTACATAAATAAAAAATTCTTAATCATCTTGCACTAGTTATTTGAAACAGAAGATATTTAGATTTTAGACCATCAAACTATGAGTTTCCTCTTTCCACTGGCATTATTAAGTCAACTTAATCAGAAGAATGTAATGCAATTGCTCATGCATCTACAATGAAATACAACTAAGTATTGCACGGGAAAAAACGATATAATAATCTGCATCACTTCATTCCAATAAAGTCAGTCAAGGCAAAGATTACAATGGACTGATACAAGAATATGGTGCTAAACTTTAAACCATTAGCTCGAGCAGCAGATGTTCATGCTATCTTTTATCGTGTAATGCCTTGCCTTAAGCTGGTTTGTCAGCTAAAATTCAATGGGTTTCTGCTTAAGCAGCCTAGCCCTAAATCTTTATCCTTCAGAGAGAATGCAATATTCAAATTCAAAAAAGCATGTCTCTTGTGCCTTTAATACATTTCATAAGAGCTGTAATCAAAACAATTGACATATAGACAGTCGTCAGATTACTGAAACAAGATTGAATTCAATGACGTGTACCTGTAACCAGGAGGATAAAGGAATGGAAAAGGTTGAAATAACTTGGAGTATCATGTTGAGGAGGAGGCTCAATGCTCAACTTTCCTGAATGGCCTTCGCAAGTTGTTCATCCTCCTCTAGTGAGCTTTGGCTTGACGTTCTTATTCCTCTGTTGAGCTTTAGCTCGTCGTTCATCTTCCTCTATCTGAGCTTTAGCAACAGTTCATCTTCGTTTCATCCGATTCAGATTTAATACATTGATATCTTCCTCCAGTCATATTCATTTTCTAATAAAATAATATATTAATGAACTAAAAGTATGAACTTTAAATTTCATCATTAATTCAACACTTCCGAAAATAACTGTATTGATTATAGAGTGCACCTCTTTAATGGACCTTATGCATGTTCAGTTAGCATGTAATATAAAGGAAGTCCATCAATCTGATATTTTAGAAGTCACTTTGTACAGTTCTTCCTCCTGCCTCACTTCACTATACTATTGTGACTGAAAAACGGAAAGATTTCACAGAAAAACCAAAGATGCATATGTATCTCTGTAAGCAATTTGCAATCATACCCACTGTTTGGCATGGATACTATTTGAAAAGAGAATTATCTTTTTTCAAACCCAATAAAATAAATTATTTTAATTGCTTCTACTTCATTAAAACTCTCTTACTTATTATTTAGAGTATTCATAAGCTAAGCCTTAAGTTATTCAATTAACATATAGCATATAATCTAAACAATGCCGGATGCATTACTTCTGTTCTTGCCCATAATTTCTGGAGCAAAATTTTGAGCAATGCAAATAAAAATAATCTGATACGAATAATTTTTGTTATTTATTAAAGAAAAGAGTAAAAGCAATCAAGCAAGTACACACATACAAGGCGGTACTATTGGCAATCAGTTCCCCTTCACCTGTGTTCTTTGATATGTCATTGCAGAGTACTTCACGCACTGAGCCATAATAATGTCTAGTAATTAATCACAGAAACTTCCAATCACAATTACAAAAATTTCATGATCAGTGCTTACAGGTTGTGGGGCTTACCAATCACTTTTTTTCCTTTTTGATCCACTTCTGAAGAGACATTGCAATAGCACGGTCATTTTCTTCTTTGTCAAAATCGGATGAATCATCCTATATCCAGGTTTTTCCACATATGTCAGCAACATCACAAACTTGAAAAAGAAATGCTGCATACAATGTATGCATGAAAATTCACTTGCGCATGTATCCATTCCTAATTAATAAAATTAAGAATTGATGTAATAATCATGGGAGAAAACAGCAGCTAGGTGCACCTATGACTGAAGGGGAAAAAAAAAAAGTGATTACCACTGAATCTCTAGGCTCATTCCATCTTCTATAATCTCCATATTTTCCATGATATTGACCTTTAGATTGGGACCTTTCAGAATTTTTTGTCAGCCATCCCATGATGAGATATTTCTGCCAGCAGGATAGCAAATTTTGCCGGCAACCAGCTGCTCATTATATAAATGCAAATTTAGCAGCAAAAGGAAATGCCAATATACACTGGGACATTACTAACAATGCAAGAAAATTTATCTATAGCATAGAATTCGACCATAATTTCAAATAACTTCCAGGTTCATGATACTACTACAATTAAACACCCAGGCAATTGAAAATTAGAAACCAAAAAGGGGAAAAAAAGAAACATTCAACTTTATTGATAGATATAACCAAGTGTCAGATATAGCCTGAATCAACAGCTTAGAAGGAATACCACACATAAGCTTTCTTCTGTCAAAGGCATCATAAACTTGTTGCCTGCATGTCTACCTTAATTGCAAAAATATGGTGCAAAATCAAATCATTTGCCTCATCAATGAAAGATTTCAGGCAAGCGAAACACAAGGCAATGTAAATCACCCCACATATTCAAATTTTCATCTGAAATGCCCAATTCCCAGAAATTACAGTACCACGTATTTGTTGGCGCCTAAATACTAATAAGTCAATCACACCCCAGTTTCTATTAAAACACCCTTGATCACCCTTTACCAATACTGTAATAAACAAAAACTAATACATAACAGTTGTCATATAAACGAAGAATAAGAGGAAATTCAGTGTTACAGACTCACCTGTAACAAGTAAATAATCCGCAGAAACAATAGAATCTGGTGAATCTCCTATCAGATACAGCACCCAAATCCAAATGCGTAGTCATCAAAGAAGAATCAGTGGAAGCAAAAAGATATTATTCTTTTCTTTATTAACTGCCATGAATCCAGCAAAACCACTCCGCCTTTTTTTCTGAGCAGAAAAAAAAGTCGGATAAATATTCTTAGTGAATTAAAGAATGAAGATAATATTATTAAAAAGACATATTAGGAAAGCTATAAAGATGGAACTAAAGACGACTTGAATCTTACGCAAAACCCAGATTAAAAAAAAAAAAAAAGGCAAGCAGTGAAAGCTGATATGTTCTTGAGGTGTGCACAGTTGAGAAGTCTTGAATTCGTGTATAAATTATTAAAAGGATCAAAAGGAAAGGGTTTAAAAAGATAAAAAGAGAGAATCAAAGTCGGAGTTGGTGTGTTTGTAATCGGAATTGATATGGAATAATAGAATAGAGTATCATATAGTTATACTTTTATTGCAAGTGGGTCCTTTCCCCATTTTCCACCACACTCCACTAAATGTCAAAACCGCCATCAATCTTTCTGGTTGAAAAAGTGACCTTAGAAGAGAAGGTGACTCTTTGAATTTCTTCTTTCTAGTCCGTTATGTACTTAGTTGCCCATCCACTTACCCTACCAACTCTTACCCCACCTTATAAACCCTCACCCCCTTTTTTTCACCTTTAATCCTTATGTTATAAAACTTAAAAATTAATTAATAATGTTAGTTCTTCATTCACAAATCACAACTCATGTCAGTGACGATGAAGTAGTTGTTCAAATTAGAAGAAAACCAAGCTGGTAACTTTGAGCTGACGGAACAAATAACCGATTACTTTATTAAACGGGACTGCCAAATCGGAATAAAAGAATATTAATTCAACTTTGTAGAGCATATATGGGTGGGTTAGTTATCATCTCTCGACCTCACTGGTTAGATGATGATCACCACTGCCCACCAAATTATACTCAAATTTGGAATTTGCACCATCTTATTTTTCATGTGTAATTTTTCAGGATCTTAAAGTTAACAGTTACATAATGAGATTGAAATCGAAACTTTTTAAATAATACATTCAATAATCACAGTTAACTGGTTGACCACCAAAGAGTTGGTTTGCAACATATTTATCTCTTAAATTTTTTTTTTTTTTTAAATTTTTGTGAATAACAGTATTCAATGGTAAAGCGCTGGAACTTAGTTAGAACTGACTATTTAGATTCAGTATCTGAAACTGTGCTTCCCACCATGTGAGAAGGATATAGAGGACATTGGTAGGCTAACAATCATAAGTTTTGCTCCCCACTTCATTTTCAAATCATACACACGCAATATTAAATTAAATACAAACACCATCAACTCTAAACTTTACTATGATTTCGAGTATAGGGTTCGTGGTGGTGTAAGATATGGAATGAAGAATTGAGATCTCAATCAAAGAGATCTCAATTTTTTGCCGACCGACTGTTTCTATTGTTTTTATATGCTGTTTCTTTTTCATTAATCAAAGGGGTATTATTATCAGAGATTATTATAGCTCCACCTACCCAATTGATATTAATTCAGCCGCAATTGAAAATGATTTGTCAGCTTGAGATGAGTCATTTAGGAATCTTTTAAGATAGAAGCAAGTGGAACACAATTATACTTTTGTTAACAACTGATGTTTAATTACCGTTACCAAAGACAGATTTATCTCACTCGGTAATTACTGCATTAAATTATTCAACAAATTATATTTATTAGTCTTATTTATCTGACGATTTAGTAAACTGATCTATGGATTTTGTCTGATTTTTTTTCATTTAGACCCGTAAGCGTAAAGCCAAAGAGGCAAAGACATCGATGTTACATTTTGAAAAAGTCAACAGTGCACTGACATTGAATCCACCTCTTACCATACACATTAACGTCACCATGGACCTATCAAAATATCACACACATGTTGTAAATAATTTATCTAATTCCTGTCACCTGACGATCTAGGAATTTTAACCCAACATGGTAAAATAAGTGTTACTTTATGTGTAGAGTAACGGTGTTGGGTATTTGGTCGTTGTTATAAGCTCAGACTAATTTGATTAACTCTAAGGGGTTAGTTTAACAATTGACGAGGTTTGTTTTCTTTCTTAAATTATTGGATTTAAACCTTAGAGTCATATACTATAATAATATTGTGGTTTATCTGATTCTTTAGACTTAAGGGGTGTTTGTCTGAGTTTATGAAAATTAGCTTATAAATATTTAAAATTTTAAGCAATTACGTGTTTGGTTAAAGTACTTATAAGTGATTGATAAGTAGTTGACGTGTTTGATAAAATGTGACTTATAAGTATATTTTATTATAAAATGACTAAAAAAGGTACTACATTAAATAAATGTATACTATGGAATTTTAAAATTAAACAAGAATAATGTGGTAATATATTTGGTCAAACTAACTTATAAGCAGAGTGCTTATAAGCAAAAAAGGAAAAAATAAGTACATCCTCTCCAACTTATTTTTTTTTTTGGCTTATAAGTTCAACTTATAAGCTCAAAAAAATTATAAACAAATAGATGAGCTTAATTTTAAAACTTATAAACTAGTTTGATCAACCTATAAGTTTAGACAAACACCTCCTTATAAAGTATTCAATAGATCCTGAAGATTAGTTGAGTTACGTATAAACTGGTTTGGATATCTCAATTATTAGTTAAAATGCATATAAACTGAGTCAAACACCTCGATTATAAAAATAAATAAATTAATTAATTAAAGAAAAATAAAAAGCAGCTGATTTGATTTCTTGCCTACTAATTTTTATAATTGATGCCGCTGGGGTCTTTTGGTATTAATTTATAAGTAGGAGGAGACGACAATGGCCTTACACCTCACTTAAAGTAGAGTTTTACAGCCATCACTAAGAGATTGCAATCAATTAGCCTTTTAAAGAAATAATACAATAATGAATGACGTCTAAGTTCAAGACTCAACCAATTCACTCTGCCAATTTGATAACTGTTCTGTAATAATTGTTTGGGCTTAGAATAAAATAAAATAAAATAAAATAAAATTACTGATCAAAGTACAAATTTACAATTAGATAAAAGATGAATTTCAAATCACGGGAGTTGGGATTGGGAACCGAAAGGATCAATTTTGATATAGACAGCCAACACCTCTGCGATGATCATGTACCAAACCATTACATCACCTCGCCTAAAATCCACTTAACAATTTGTGGTCTTAATCACAGCCCATGTTCTAATGATAATTATTTAATCAAAACATAAAATATATCCGTGTTTGGTTTGGCCCATTAATTCGTCACTTCTTCTGTTCTCTTTTGACTTGTATTATTATTGATTACATCTTCACTAAGAAACAAAGGCAATCGGAAAGTGATTGATATCTTCAAAACTTGTTTCATAAGTTTNTATGTTATCATCTCTCGACCTCACTGGTTAGATGATGATCACCACTGCCCACCAAATTATACTCAAATTTGGAGCTTGCACCATCCTATTTTTCACCAAAGCTCTGTAATTTTTCATGAATATCACATAAGACTAGATGAATAAAATATTAGATGTGCAACATATCTGTTTTTTTTTTTTTTTTTTTTTTTTTTTTTTTGTTTTTTTTTTTTTTTTTTTTTTTGGTAGTTGAGAGTGTATTTACATCTATCTCAACTAATCTTTCAGAATTTTAAAGTTAATAATTGAGTAACAAGAAATTGAATTCAAAACCTCTTAGATAATATACTCAATAACCACAATTGACTGATTGATCACCAGGAGTTGGTTTGCAACATATCTATCTCTTAAATTTTTTTTTTTTAAAATTTTTGTGAATAACAGTATTCAATGGTAAAGCGCCGGAGCTTAGTTAGAACTGAGCCTGACTACTTAGATTCAGTATCTGAAACTGTGCTTCCCACCATGTGAGAAGGATCTAGAGGACATTGGTAGGCTAACAATCATAAGTTTTGTTCCCCCACTTCATTTTCAAACCATACACACGCAATATTAAATTAAATTAAATTAAATACAAACACCATCAACTCTAAACTATTACTATGATTTCAAGTATAGGGTTTGTGGTGGTGGAGAAATTAACTCGAAAAGGAAAAAAAAAAAAAAAAAAGAATTATAGTTGTAAGATATGGAATGAAGAATTGAGATCTCAATCAAAGAGATCTCAATTTTTTGCCGACCGACTGTTTCTATTGTTTTTATATGCTGTTTCTTTTACATTAATCAAAGGGGTATTATTATCAGAGATTATTATAGCTCTACCTACCCAATTGATATTAATTAAGCCGCAATTGAAAATGATTTGTCAGCTTGAGATGACTCATTTAGGAATCTTTTAAGATAGAAGCAAGTGGAACACAATTATACTTTTGTTAACAAATGATGTTTAATTACCGTTACCAAAGAAATATTTATCTCACTCTGTAATTACTGCATTAAATTATTCAACAAATTATATTTATTAGTCTTATTTATCAGACGATTTAGTAAACTGATCTATGGATATTGTCTGATTTTTTTCATTTAGACCCGTAAGCGTAAAGCCAAAGAGGCAAAGACATCGATGTTACATGTTAAAAAAAGTCAACAGTGCACTTACATTGAATCCACCTCTTACCATACACATTAATGTCACCATGGACCTATCAAAATATCACACATATGTTGTAAATAATTTATCTAACAATAATACTACGGGTATTAATCATTTTGTACTAATTCAAGTTAAAAATTTGAATTTTTTTTTTTAAGAAATTTTAAATTTTCAATGTTAGTACTTTGATTAGTACAAATGGTTAGTACACATAATATTGCCATTTTATCTAATTCCTGTCACCTAATGATCTAGGAATTTTAACCCAACATGGTAAAATAAGTGTTACTTTATGTGTAGAGTAACTGTGTTGGGTATTTGGATGTTGTTATAAGATGACGCTAATTTGAGTAACTTCAAGGGTTTAGTCTAACGGTTAATGATGTTTATTTTCTTCTTTAAATTATTGGGTTTAAACCTTGGAGTTATCTATTATAATAATATTGTGGTTTATCTGATCTTTTAAGTTTGTAGAGTATGCAATAAACCTTAGAAATTGGTTGAGATGTATACAAATTGGTTTAGATATCTCAATTATTAGTTAAAATAAGCATAAACTAGATTAAACATCCGGATTATAAAAAAAAAAAATAAAAGAAAAAGAAAAAGCAGCTGATTTGATTTCTTGCCTACTAATTTTTATAATTGATGACGCTGGGGTCTCTTGGTATTAATTTATAAGTAGAAGGAGACGACATTGGCCTTACACCTCACTTAAAGTAGAGCTTACAGCCATCACTAGAGATTGCAATCAATTAGCCTTTTAAAGAAATAATACAATAATGAATGACGTTTTAGTTCAAGACTCAACCAATTCACTCTGCCAATTTGATAACTATTCTGTAATAATTGTTTGGGCTTAGGATAAAATAAAATAAAATTACTGATCAAAGTACAAATTTACAATTAGATAAAAGATGAATTTCAAATCACGGGAGTTGGGATTGGGAACCGAAAGGATCAAATTTGATATAGACAGCCAACACCTCTATGATGATCATGTACCAAACCATTACATCACCTCGCCTAAAATCCACTTAACAATTTGTGGTCTTAATCACAGCCCATGTTCTAATGATAATTATTTAATCAATATAATAAACAAAACATAAAATATATCCGTGTTTGGTTTGGCCCATTAATTCGTCACTTCTTCTGTTCTCTTTTGACTTGTATTATTATTGATTACATCTTCACTAAGAAACAAAGGCAATCGGAAAGTGATTGATATCTTCAAAACTTGTTTCATAAGTTTCTCTCTCTCCTATTACATGCATCCTTTTTCAAAAGTTTCTGTATTTATACAAGGGAAAACTTGTTCGCCTACACATTTCTGGAATACTACTATTAATGATAATTTCTAAACCCAAAGGTTGGCCGGTGGTTGGAGAGGTTTGCTCACTTCTTTGTATTATTGGGTTCAAATCTTGGGGTCATCTATCATAATAATATTATGGTTTACCTAGTTTTTTGAACTTATATGATATTCAATAGACTCATATGATTAATTAAAATATGCGTAAACTGACCCGAACACTCCGATTATCAAAAAATAATAATAATTTTTTTTTTGGATTACTACTTGTGCATTTCAGTCCAGTTCATTCATTGATTAAAAAAATGTAAGAGAAATAGGAAAAGTATATTTAAAAAAAAAAAAAAAAAACCAACTACCTGTGAATGATCAAGTGGTTCGATATAGACTCTTGGGTGTATTACTTAAGAGATCCTGAGTTCGAGTCCCTCCTCGATTGCTAATAAAGATAGCCATTAAAGCTCTTATNATTAATTCGTCACTTCTTCTGTTCTCTTTTGACTTGTATTATTATTGATTACATCTTCACTAAGAAACAAAGGCAATCCGAAAGTGATTGATATCTTCAAAACTTGTTTCATAAGTTTTTCTCTCTCTCCTATTACATACCTCCTTTTTCAAAAGTTTCTGTACTTATTCAAGGAAAAACTTGTTTGCCTACACATTTCTCGAATACTACTATTAATGATCATTTCTAAACCTGAGGTTGTCCTAATAGTTAAAGAGGTTTGCTCACTTTCTTATATTCTTAGGTTCAAACGTTGGAGTTACTTATCATGATAATATTATAATTTACCTAGTTATTTGAACTTGTAGGGTGTTCAATAGACTAAGAAGATTAGTTAAGATATACATAAGCTGGACCAAACACCTCGGTTACCAAAAAATAATGATAATATTTTTTTTTTTTTTTGGATTACTACTTGTGCATTTCAGTCAAGTTTATTCATTGATTAAAAAAATATAAGAGAATTAGGAAAAGTATATTTAAAAAAAATAAAAAACCAACTACCTGTGGATGATCAAGTGGTTTGATATAGACTCTTGGGTGTATTACTTGAGAGGTTATGGGTTCGAGTCCCTCTTCGATTGCTAATAGAGATAGCATTAGAACTCTTATCCAGTTAATAGTTCTAGGTCCTAAATGATTAATTGAAATACACATAAACTAGTCATGACACCCCGATCATAAAATAAAAAAGATATTTAAAAATTAACTTTTAAATAAATTTTATATAATTATGAAGGCTTAAATAACATTACTCAACTTAGAAACGTTATAAATAGGCCTAACCCAGTAAGGAAGGTGTAGGAAAGTCCAGCCCAAAACCTAAGATGCCTCTTACGGTACATATTTTAGGCATCCACGTCACTCCTGTACTATATTTTGAACAACTAGACAAGATTTTTATAATAAGTTTAAAAGATATCATTAAATTAATTTACATTAGAATTAACTGAATAAATTTATTAATATAAACGGTATTATTATTTACTATGAAATATTAATTTTCAGCCCTTCGGTACATGGCCGCTTCAGTTCAAATATGAAGTTAGTATAACAAATTAGCAGTACATCTTGTTTGTGCCGGCACCAACTTCATCCAATACAGTGCACTAGATTATGGCTGTTAACTAAGATAAAACTGAATCTGTTTTGAGCTTTTGAGCTCCTCCTTTTTCATTTAAATCTTTCCATTCACTCAATTCCAACAGAAACAGCTTTTTCATTGTACACATTTTTCTCTTCTCTTCTCTTCTATATTGAGTTCTTTCTTCTTCTGTTTTCATGCTCGAATATGAACAACTTTACAAGCGAACGAAGATACCCAACTGAGAGTTGCCTTGTGCTTCCTCCTCTGATCAGCTCTGCTGGCTTGTTGACAGCATCTGATGATCAAAATTATAGATGGCTTGATTATGCATCTCCTAGACTTCAGTTGATCATAGTTTTGATCTTTGTCCTCACTCAAGGCTTTCATTCTGTGCTCAAACAATTAGGCCTGCCAATCATGACTTCCCAGATCATTGTATGTTAAAATCTCAAGAATTTCATAAAATTATTTATTATTATTCTATATTTGAGGTACTAATTTGCATTTCTTTATTTGTTTTTTTTCTTTTTTTTTTCTAAACTAGGCTGGTGTATTGTTATCTGAAGCAGTGCTTCCAAAACAATGGTTAGATATTCTGATGTCAGAAGATAGTGTTCAATTGATTGGCACCTTAGGGGAGTTTGGCTATTCAGTTTTTGTCTTTCTGAGTGGGGTGAAAATGGACATGAGCATGGTAACCAGAGTGGGAGCAAAGGCTTGTTATCTAGCTTTTATATCCATTCTAGTGCCGATGATATATGTCGTGTCAAGCATAGTAATGTTGACCAACAACCGGAAAGAATTAAACAGCATGATGCATATTGCACCATTGTTTTATATCACATGCTTTCCAGTCATTCATTGCCTTCTCACAGAACTGAAAATCCTCAACTCAGAACTTGGCAGACTAGCACACTCAACAGCGATTATTGCTGACTTTCTTAGTTTTATTTGTGTAATTGGCATCTCCGTTGCTCTAGGAATAATTCAAGGATTTCCTAAATCCTTTCTTCCTCAACTAGGAATTACATTCTTCTTCATTTTTATTGCTATGATTGTGCTCCGACCAATAATGCTTTTGATTGTGAAATTAACCCCTGAAGGACGACAGGTAAACCAAACTTACATATATGCAATAATAGTGGTGTTCCTAATCAGTGTGAGGGTTATTCCTCGAGGGTGTAATAAGTTTTATTTCATAGTAATTTATGTTCTTGGCTTGGCTGTGCCTCATGGACCCCCATTGGGATCTGCTCTGGTGGAGAAATTTGAGTGTATGGCTTCATGTTTGTTTTTGCCAATATTTGTCACAACATGTTCCATGAGATTACAGAAGTTAACTCTTGATTTCAGAAACGAAATGGTAAAAGAGCTTGCAATTATTGCTGCAATGACTTTATTGGTGAAATTTTTGTCATGTTTGGGCCCATTGTTGTATACGAAAATGCATAAACCTGATGCAATTGCTCTTGCTCTCATATTGAGCGCCAAGGGAGTTATTGAGCTAGCTGCTTATACCTTCATGAGCGATGGAAAGGTATTTAATCAACCTTGACACCTAATCTAAAACTTCATTTTTAATTCAATCAAATCATAGTAACAATGATCTGCTTGTTCTTATTTTCAAATACAGGTTCTCTCTCCACAAGTATTCAATGCAGGACTTATTTTTGTCACTTTCAGTGCAAGCATTGTGCCTGTTTTGGTGAGAAAATTGTATGATCCTTCGCGGAAATATGCAGGCTATCAAATAAGGAAGATCATGGATGCCAACCTTGATGAAGAACTGCATATTGTTACTTGCATTCATGTTCCAAACAATGTCACATCAGTCATCAACATGCTGAACATCTCATGTCCAACCAGAGAAACCCCTCTAGCTGTTAGTGTACTTCACCTTATCAAGCTCAGTGGGGTTGCAGCCCCAATTTTCATTTCCCATGAAAAGAGAAGCAAAAGATTCACTCGTTACTGGTACTCCGAAAATGTCATTCTTTCTTTCATGAAATTTGAGGGAAATCATTTTGGAACTGTAAAATTGAATGCCTTCACAGCTATCTCTTCACCAGAGTTCATGCATGATGATATTTGCACTCTTGCTCTTGACAAGCTTGCCTCTCTTATCATCCTACCATTTCACAGAACATGGTACATTGATGGCTCACTCGAATCCGAAGAGCGCACCGTCAGGAATCTAAACCTCAGAGTCTTGGAAAAAGCTCCTTGTTCCGTAGGAATCCTCATCGATCATGGCAACATAAGGCGACCTATCTATTTGGATGCACCAATAGAATCATACTCCGAGGTTGCTATGCTATTCTTCGGTGGCAACGATGACCGCGAAGCGTTGACATTAGCCAAAAGAATGGCTAGGAAGACGACAGTTAGACTTACAGTAGCACAATTCGTTGCCAAGAATGATGATGGTGAAGTAGACTGGGGTACAATTCTTGATTCTGAGGTTATGAGGGATGCTAAGAACAATGAATATATCAACTACGTTAAGCACGTCGTAAATGATGGACGTGAAACAGTGAACATTGTTCATTCCTTGGTGAATGAATTTGATCTCATCATTGTTGGGAGAAGATACAACATAGAAGATCCACAGACTTCGGGACTTAAAGAATGGAGTGAATTTCCAGAGATTGGAATCATGGGAGACTTGCTCGCCTCCAAAGATTTAACTGGGAAATGTTCAGTCTTGGTTGTACAGCAACAACGTACAGTTTAATTAGTATGCTCATATTAATTAATTAAGTCAACCATTATATCATTGTACAAATCCTAGTTATAATTTTGGAGAAAATAGGAGATCAGTGGGTACATATTTGTATAAACAACACATAAATTTGTGTATTTTGTACTTTGATTTGTGTAAATTTCCCTCAGACATATGAACTTGGAAGATTTGATTGATTCCAAATATCAAAATTGGGATGTTGTTTTCTTGTTACTGATTTCAAGGACCCAATTAACCCATAGCTGATCATGGTTATTAACAAATTAATTAACTAATATTCAATGTACCAAACCTCCACTTGCTTCAAATTCATATATGTACTTTCAATTTGAGTAAATCTCATATATGACTTAGAGCTGGCGTACATTTTTTTTTCTTTTTTTGGTAACCGAGGTATTTGAGCCAATTTACGCGTACCTCAATAAATCCTCGAGATTCATTAAACACCTTATAAGTCCAAATGACCAAATAACCTATAGGGGGCGTTTGGTTCAGGAATGTTAGATTACTGGGAATATTGAATTACTGGAAAGATAGATTACCTTGGAAGATTACTGGGAATCTTCAAGAAAATATGTTTGGTTAGTTGGTGGGTATGTTATATTAATATGTTTGGTTATGGGGAATAAATTGGTGGGTATGCTGTTTAAATTACTAAATTGTCCCCCTTTTAAATATTAATATAATATTATTTTTATTATTTATTTTTGAATAATTTCTTTTAACCCTCAATATATCAGATTTAGCTAAAACACTTCTTATATAAAACTTTAATTTATGACGAAATCACCCCCACCTCCTGCCGCCACCGCGAACCACCGTCGGCGATGGTCCGTGGTGGTTGGCCCGCTGTCGGCGGTGGTGGCTGGGTGGCAGTGGTGTTATGTAAATGATTTTAAATATAAGGGCATTATTGTCCAAAATTTTAATTAAACAAGGATAAAATTGAAATAGGATATTAACGTAAATTTGTTTTAAAGTAAGGGTATTATTGTCAAATTTTTTTATTAATAAGGGATAAAATTGTAACAAAAAAAGATAATCCTGGTAATCTCAGAATACCTAAGAAAATGGAGGTAATCAGATTACCTATGATATTACTAATAGTAACCACTACTGGTATTTGAAGATTACCGGTATCTTATATTATTTGACGACTAAACATGGTAATCAAGTAATATAAGATGACATTATCCCAGTAATCTCACTTAACCCCCAACCAAACGCCTCTATAATGTTATTATGATAGATGACTCCAATGTTTGAACCCAAAAATTCAAGGAACTGAGTAAATCTCTTTGACTGTCAGGCTAACCCCTTGGGGTTGTTGGTATACATTGTTGTTAGCAATTGTTTTGGTTTTTGGTTTATTGGAAGCAGCAAGTTAATTTGAATTAGTATAGTTTTGGGTATTACTGTTGTGTGAAGATAAAAGCTAGCAATGGAAGTATTTATAAATATTTAGGAGATAAAGCTCGAAGGAAGAGAAGATCAAATTGGACAAAACAATAGAAAAGCACAAGAATCAAAGATTCTCCACAGGGAACCAAAAAGAAAACTGGCTGTAGCTACGAAAGTCTTACCCAGAATGTCTGTCTTTATTCACCCTTGTTAGGTTCAGTCACGTTGTTTTCTTCGGTTACTGGTCTTAATCAATTAAATTATACATAATTTATTTTACATTTGAATATGCAGTCGCTTGTTCACCTGAATCAAATTGTTTTGTATTGTAACCTATATTTATCGGGCAGTGGAATATTTGAAGTTTGCAAATATTTTGTCAATGCCTTATTCAATTTAATTATATTTTCGTACAAGATATGGATTCTATCTTTTTAAGGTTGTATTTAAAGTTTTGGTAACTGACTGATATTTAAAAATCATTTCCTAGTAGGAGAAGGAGACTCCAGTCAAATTCACAGTAGGAATAAACTCTTATATATTTCTATATAAATGGATGACCCCCAATGCCCATATATGTACCTCCTCTTCCCTCTCTTTATTCCGCTAACAAAGAGTGAAGCAAAAGAAGATGACGAAATCCGGCGTTTGTGGTTGTGGTTCAAGAGTGCGTGCCGATGTGTACGATCCGATTAGAGTGAGAAAACTTAGAGAATGGGCTGAATCAGACGCCTTGTTCCTAAGAAAGTTAAGCATGACAAAGGAAGACGAAGAAGATCATAAGAGTGACAAGTTTTCTCCTCCTCCTCCTTTAGGCTTCGTCTCCCGCTCTGTCTCTGAACCATGTCGTCAAAGTCTTGACGAACGCTTTGCATGCAGGCAGAGATATCTAAGAAGCTACACATTTGGCAAAGATCCGGAAGACAAAGTTACCATTATAGGAAAATCAAAGAAGCACTGGCTCAAGTTGAAGAAACTGAATGACAAGAACACGGGTGATAAAGGTGAAGAGGCTACTTGTATTTCTCTTTTGAAAGGTGGATTGAAGTTCTTGTTCTTGTGTATAGCTCAAGTGGACTTGCATAAATCTTAGCTCAAGATTTTTAAACAATTAACCCCCGAGGGTTTAGTCTGGCTGTCAATAGAGTTTACTCTCTTCTTTGAGTTTTAAGGTTTCAACCTTGAGGTCACGTAATATAATAATATATTATGATTTTTTTGATCTTTTTAATTTATAGGGTGTTTAATAGATCTTGAAAATTAATTGAGGTATGCATAAACGGTCGGAACACCAGATTACCTAAAAAAAAATAAGATTTTTAACGGTCCATAGGTTGTAGTTTGCTTTGCATGCCTAGTATATTTTTATTGATTGTAGCTTTTTATATTAGTAAAATATCTTTTGTGTAAGATTTTGGTTGCCAATTCAATCTATTGAATAAAGTCTATTATTTAGTAATATGCGTATTATTATTTAAATCTTCCTAATCTTTAACACACAATCAAGATAAAACAACCACAATAATACACAGATTTACTGTGGTTCACCTATCCAAGATTGGGTAGACTACGTCCACAGCTCCGGAATCAGAGGAGCTTGCTGCACTAATAAATTAGAATCAAGAGTTTACACCACAGATCAAAGATCAATCACTCAAGAATACAACTCAACCTTTCCCGTAATCTCATCGAGAGAACACAATCAGATTCCCTAAGAACTTGAGAGTAAAACCCCTCTCACTTGAATGAAAACTAAACACTCACTCATCCAAGATTACAAAGATTGAATGTAAAAAGAGTAAAACCCTTCAACAATTGCTCTAAAATTCACAAAGAAAAGAACTTGTAACTATTTCCCAATTTGCTACTTTATATAGTGTTGACCAAGTATTGATTTTCAGCCATTGGATCTGAAGTTGATCAACTGCCAAGATTCACTTCAGCATCTCCCAAAATGATGTCACACCACTTATGGCCAAAACAGCACCGTTTCATGTCTTCAACTCAACGCATATCTTATAATTAAATTAATTATCTTACTTTGCTAAAAACGTGGAAATCCCAATTCTTGAAAACTCGTTTATATAATAGGGTATTCTCAAAATAGTTAATATGACTTGTGACATGAAACTATATTGTAGTCACTAAAGACTAACCTAGACTTGGTCAAGGATCGGTCCCAAATAGGCTCGGGCCTAGGCCCATTTGGGATTGGTCCTTTTGGGACTGGTCCCATTTGGGACCAGTCGCTCATGGGCCTGGAACCCATGAGCAATTTTAGGACTAGGCCCAAAACTAGTCCTAGGACCGATCCTATGGGCCTGCAAAATTTATTTTTCCCCCTTATTATTATTATTTTTTTATATTTTAGGGGCGAAATAGAATTCTATAGAGAGTTTTAGTAATTTTAAGGGGTAGATTAGTAAGTTTCTGAAAGTTTAATTAATTTAAAAAATAATAAATTAATTAATAGTTAATTATAACATAAATGTAATAATCACACATTCACACTAGACAAATAAACAGTTAAATGAATTTTTTTAGTTAAATTATTCATCTTCATCGTCGACAATATTTAAATTATTCAAATCTGTACTCCTAAAGAGTTGGAGTAGTTCGGCTCGAGTATTATTCCTCTTTCACGAGCCGAGTTCGTTAAGCCGAAAACTCGACTCGTTAACACCCCTATATATTACCACATTATCCTTGTTTAATTTTAAAATTCCATAATATACCCTTGTTCCATATAGTACCATTTTTAGTCATTCTATAATAAAATATACTTATAAGCCACATTTCATCAAACACATCAACTACTTACTAGTCACTTATAAGTACTTTATCTAAACACGTAATTACTTAAAATTTCAAATGCTTATAAACTAATTTTCATAAGCTCAGACAAACACCCCTCCACTCATATGACAAAATGAATAATTTGAGAGGTCCTAACTTCAATCCATCTAGGTTATTAATAAAGCCAAAATATTGGCTCTTGATTATTCAGGAATGCTAAGCAGAGCGAGACAGAAATATAAACGATAAAAGAAAACTATATGAACATAATACTATATTTATTTGTATAATGTTCCTTTATAAGGGTTCTGAATACATTCTATGTTGTGTAAATTGTTTAAGAAAAATTATAGCATTTATACATGGAAACTAGCATTTTTTATCACTTATTTAGTTGGGGGGGCGTGATGTATTTGATCCATGTGGTATGGATATGGTTTTGTTCCTAAAAAGCTATGCAATCAACAAGGAAAATTTCCAGTAAGACGGATGTGTTCCAGAGTCCTCCTGAGGCCATACTTGCTCACTGCCTGGTTACCTTCCCTAAATCCATCTCCATAAGCTGATGATGAATCTGACTCGATCTGGTGTTTAAAAAATTCACCAAGCTTCTTCTCAAAGTCAGAACGTTTACCCTTCTTAGTTGACGCAGGCAAGGGTGGTGATTGATGAAGAGGAGGAAGACGATGAAGCAACATTTGAGCCGGAGCCAGAGCTAGAACAAGTTTCAGAATCCAACACATATGAGCCAACACCTGACATATACCTCTCAACTTGGTTTCAAATTGGGATAACCTGTCAATATCCCATTAGGCTTCCTAGTTCAATATAAATAAAAATTGAGTATGATTAACTTGCTGTTCATAAGCAAATAAAACCTTTCAGACGAAGCCAGGCATGCATCATTTCATGAGCCAGGATTGACCCTGCTAAAACCTGTGTTACAATAAACTCAGGTCATATACAATGGAATCATGGAGCAGGTATAAGGACTACGGTGCCAGACGGTATAGAAAGAATACCTCGGGAGACGTACAAAATGAGAATTGCTGTCACTTCACATCGACGAATTTGCCTATAAGGCTCTGTTATCTTGTCTACAAACAAGTAGCCAGCTCCAACCTCGGTCTCCTTAAACCTGGTAGTAATATTAATTAAGTTACCAATCCATAAACTTGTATCCTTAATCAAACTTGAGGACGCAGTTTGAAGGTTAAAAGTATCAAAAAGAAAACTACAGTGGTAACAGTCTGCTTTCTGACAAACAGAGCCCTCTAGTTCAGGTAAATGATGGTTGCCTGACACAATAGAATAGATAATCAACACCACCGAAAAGAAAGAAAAGAAGGTGCATTCGTCATAAGGTATGAAAGCTTAGTGCATTAGCCATACATTTTTTTCCCCCTCCATGGCCTATTTAGTGCTTGTCTCTCCAACAAAATAAAGGAACTTGCTGTTCCACTCATATTTAAGCTTCATAAAATTCTTGTATTTCAAGGTAAAGGGGTTGGCATTCATGAGTATCCATTATTGCAGAGTCTAAACACTCCAAACACAACTTTCGACATCTCAAGTGATATATATCTTGCACCCTTGGCTGCATGGATTCCAAGGGTTAGCATTAGCAACAATTCTATGAAGTGAGAAATAACAAAAAGGTATACTTTAGCACATTACGATAAAATGTGTTCCAGATGAGTGTGTAGTTTCTTTCATGATATCTTTTTATATGTAGTGGATATGTGTAGAGAGGAGGGTACAGGATTTTTGTCCTTGCAATGACCTCCATTCTTCACAACTGCAACAACAAGGAGTCCCATCTCGCTCGTGTGAGGGGCAGTATTTCTGAAACCAGAAAGGAGTGGCACATACTCAATAAGGCCACCTGAATTTGTTGGGATCTGTAAGAAAGAACAGAAATTCAGAAATACTTTCTGGGTTACAATAGAATTAGTCTGATACCGGCAAGAATAAACAGTACTTTTCAGTTCTACTATTAAAAAGAATACTATATAAAATTTGAAGATAACACATAACACAGATAATGAAATCCTACAATTGTACAAATCAGCAAATGTCGGAGGGGGGAAGGGGAACCACACGCACACACACATGTAATATAACTAAGATAGGTTTGCATATGTAAACCAAAATGCAAAGATTTTTAAGCTCCAAAAATGCCGACCAATATCAAAAGGTCAAATCACAAAGTAACAGACAGTACACAGAATGCTGTATATCATTTTAGGATGATGAGGCTTTGTTAGTTTAGGTTATCCAAACATGAGGAAAATTGTTTCGTATCATGACACTGAAAGCACAATTAAATTAGAAGGAATTTAATAACCCAATTTCTTCCAACTTTTCAACATCAGATGTACCATCTTTTATTTCTCTTAGAACAAAGTTGCTATTCTTTGTCAAAAGCAAGGGGTCTGTCAACTTCAAGCAAGTTTACAATGATGATGATGGCAAAGAACTGATTAAAATTTTTGTTTCAGAATTGGTGAAAGTATTAATTGCACCATCTGTAAAATCAGCTTTGTAGTCTGTTAGTCTACTTTCTTGATCATCAGATACACTATTTGACCAAAAAAGGAAAAAGCAACCAGCTTCACCATCCTCTAAAACTGAACATAAAATCAGATAGGACATAATATATTGTATACTAGATATCAGAAACCACATAACAAAAAATAGCCAGCATTAGTAGAGAGATGGAAAAAAAAAAAAAGGGTTATTATAACATGGGAAAAATACTTACAAAGTTATGGCAGACATCAAATTAGGTGACGTTGCTCCTTACGGCAGTGTTGTGATAAGGACGACTCCCCGGACATTGAAAACTATCTAGAAAGGATATATCAAATTAGCCCTACCCTTCATTCACTTGGTTATTGAAAAACCACCCATACTAACAGCAAAATTTGCCAAGAATCAAGCAGTGTGTTAACTGACTCAAAATTAATATTATCATCAAGTTTTATAAATTTAAACCTCGATATCTGTAATTGGTTGATTACAACCATGGCAACGGAAGCATTCAGGATGCCAAAAAGCACCCATGCAACTTAAGTATCTTCCATGACCAATCTCAATATTGCAACCGGGACACGTCCTATGAGAATACATTTTCAACAACCAGGTTAGGATTTGTCTGATATCTAAGTTAAAAAGACTAGAAACATAAGAAGCAGATTATATAAAAGACACAATAATAGATGTATATATATAATTATGCATGCAAATTCATGATGTTACATAACGATGTAATGCACCCCAACTTTATCACATTTAGCCATGCCAATGTCAAATATTTGTCATGCATGTCTACTAACTTGAAAATGATAATTTCAAACTGAGCCACATAATAAAATGCAAAATTCTGATTGTCACATTTATAATTAACCAATGTCAAGTACTTCCACGTCATGTCTCCTTGAAGAACAAAAGTTCAAATTGTACCTAAAATAAAAATTCTTAATCGTCTTGCATAGTTATTTCGAAAAGAAGATATTTAGATTTTAGACCATCAAATATGAGTTCCTCATTCACTGGCATTATTAAGTCAACTAATCAGAAGAATGTAAGCAATTGCTCATGCATTACAATGAAATACAACTAAGTATTGCACAGGGAAAAAAAACGATATAAGTAGACATCGCATCACTTCATTCCAATAAAGTTCAGTCAAGGCAGAGATTACATGGAATGATACAGAATATGGTGCTAAACTTTAAACCAATTAGCTCGAGCAGCAGACGTGGTCATGCTATCTTTTATCTGGTAATGCCTATGCCTTAAGCTGGTTTGTGGCTAAAATTCAATGGGTTTCTGCTTAAGCTAGCCTAGCCCTAAATCTTTATTCTTCAGAGAGAATGCAATATTCAAATACAAAAAAGCATGTCTGCTTGTGCCTTTAATACATTTCAGTAAGAGCTATAATCAAAACAATTGACATATATGACAGTCGTCAGATTACTGAAACAGAGATTGAATTCAATGACGTGTACCTGTAACCAGGAGGATAAAAGAAGGAAAAGGTTGAAATATACTTGGAGTATCATGTTGAGGAGGAGGCTCAATGCTCAAACTTTCCTGAATGGCCTTCGCAAGTTGTTCATCCTCCTCTAGTTGAGCTTTGGTTGACGTTCGTATTCCTGTTGTTGAGATCGTCGTTCATATTCCTCTTGTTGAGCTTTAGCTCGTGCGATCATCTTCCTCTATCATGAGCTTTAGCAAACAGGTCATCTTCGTCTTCATACGATCAGATTTAATACATTGTATATCTTCCTCCAAGTCATATTATTTTCTAATAAATAAATATATTAATGAGACACAAAAGTATGAACTTTAAATTTCATCATTAATTCAACACTTCCGAAAATAACTGGTATTGATTATAGAGTGCACCTCTTTAAGGACCTATGCATGTCAGTTAGCATGTAATATATAAAGGAAGTCCATTCAATCTGATATTTTAAGAAGTCACTTGTACAGTTCTTCCTCCTGCTCACTTCACTATACTAGTTGACTGAAAAACCAAAACAGATTTCACAGAAAAACCACAAGATGCATATGTATCTCTGTAAGCAATTTGCAATCATACCCACTGTTTGGCATGGACACTAGTTTGAAAAGAGAATTATCTTTTTTCAAACCCAATAAAATAAATTATTTTAATTGACTTCTTACTTCATAAAACTCTCTACTTATTATTAGAGTATTCATGAGCATAAGCTCTTAAGTTATTCAATTAAACATAATAGCATAATAATCTAAACAATGACGGATGGATTACTTGCCCATAATTCTGGAGCAAAATTTTGAGCAATGCAAATAAAAATAATCTGATGCGAATAATTTTGTTATTTATTAAAGAAGAAGAAGTAAAAGCAATCAAGCAAGTATACACATACAAAGCGGTACTATTGGCAATCAGTTACCTTCACTCTGTGTTTCTTTTGATATGTCATTGCAGAGTACTTCACGCACTGAGCCATAAGTAATGTCTAGTAATTGATCACAGAAAATTCCCATATCACAATTACAAAAAATTTCATGATCAGTGCTTACAGGTTTGTGGGCTTACCAATCACTTTTTTCCTTTTGATCCACTCTGAAAGAGACATTGCAATAGCACGGTCAATTTCTTCTTGTCAAAATCGGATGAATCATCCTATATCCAGGTTTTTCCACTATAGTCAGCAACATCACAAGTTGAAAAAAAGAAAGCTGCATAAAATGTATGCATGAATATTCAACTTGGCAGCATGTATCCATTCTAAATTAATAAAATGTAAGAATTGATGTAATAATCTATGGAAGAAAACAGCAGTATGGGTAAAAACTATGACTGAAGGGGAAAAAAAGAAAAGTGATTACCAATGAATCTCTAGGCTCATTCCATATTCTATCATCTCCATATTGTCATGATATTGACCTTATGATTGGGACCTTCACAATTTGGGTCAGCCATTCCATGATGAGATATTATCTGCCAGCAGGATAGCAAACTTTTGCCGGCAACCAAGCTGCTCATTTGTATAAGAATGCAAATTTAGCAGCAAAAGGAAATGCCAATATACACTGGGACATTACTAACAAATGCAAGAAAATTATCTATAGCATTAGAATTCGACCATTATTTGGCAAATAACTTCCAGGTTCATGATACTATTACAATTAAACACACCAGGCAATTGAAAATTAGAAACCAAAAATATGGTGCAGATCAAATCATTTGCCTGCATCAGCAGCTTAGAAGGAATACCATACATAAGCTTTCTTCTCCCAAAGGCATCAATAAACTTGTTGCCTGCATGTCTACTTAATTGCAAAAATATGGTGCAAAATCAAATCATTGCCTACATCAATGAAAGATTTCAAGCAAGCGAAACACAAGGCAATGTAAATCACCCGGACATATCCAATTTTCATGAAATGCCAATTCCCAGAAATTTCAGTACCACGTATTTGTTGGCGGCCTAAAATGAACTATAAGTCAATCACACCCCATGTTCATTTAAAACACCCTTGATCACCTCTACCAATACTGTAATAACAAAAACTAATACATAACAGGAATCATATAAGAAGAACAAGAGGGAAATTCAGTGTTACAGACTCACCTGTAACAAGTAAATAATCCGCAGAAACAATAGAATCTGGTGAATCTCCTATCAGATACAGCACCCAAATCCAAATGCGTACTCATCAAAGAAGAATCAGTGGAAGCAAAAAGATATTATTCTTTTCTTTATTAGCTTCCATGAATCCAGCAAAACCACTCCGCCTTTTTTTCTGACCAGAGAAAAAAGTCGGATAAATATTCTTAGTGAATTAAAGAATGAAGATAATATTCTTTAAAAGACATATTAGGAAAGCTATAAAGATGGAGCTAAAGACGACTTGAATCTTACGCAAAACCCAGATTAAAAAAAAAAAAAAAAAAGGCAAGGAAAGCTGAAATGTTCTTGAGGTGTGCAAAGTTGAGAAGTCTTTAATTCGTGTATAAATTATTAACAGGATCAAAATGAAAGGTTTTAAAAGATAAAAGAGAGAATCAAAGTCGGAGTTGGTGTGTTTGTAATCGGAATTGATATGGAATAATAGAATAGAGTAACATATAGTTATACTTTTTATTGCAAGTGGGTCCTTTCCCCATTTTCCACCACACTCCACTAAATGTCAAAACCGCCATCAATCTTTCTGGTTGTAAAAGTGACCTTAGAAGAGAAGTTGATTCTTTGATTTTCTTCTGTCTTCCACTTGACCCTACCAACTCTTACCCCACCTTATAAACCCTCACCGCCTTTTTTTCACCTTTAATCCTTATGTTATGAAACTTTAAAATTAATTCATAATATTAGTTACTTCGTTCACAACTCATGTAAGTGAAGTGGTTGTTCAAATTAGAAGAAAATTGTTATACCCGGAAAAGTAGGGCTGATGTAGAGCCCTGTCAGCGCAAGTAGTCAGAGCTTAGGTAAGTCCAGGCGTCATTCAGGTATAGCCACATTGCGTGCTAACGCAAGAGGCATGCTCCTGCCAGTGCAGTAGGTGTGCGTCAGACTGGTGAAAGGCTAAAGGTGATCCACGTGTCCAACCCCTAGAAGAATCGAGTAAATCACTCAGGCAGGTGAATAACAGGGCACAAGGAAGGATTTGGACAGAAATCTGACTCACTTCCTGATTTAGTAATCATTACCTTAATCTATCCTACTATAAATAGAGGACTCCTCTCCCGTTTGTGGGATTAGCTAATTTGTCTCTGCAATAGCACACTTATTTTCTCTTTGTAATCACTTGTTAGTCAGCTTGCTGAACGCGACCTAATATCAATATATTAATACAATACCAGTGGACATAGGAGTTGCTTGTTTAAGCATTTGAACCACTTTAAACATCGTTCTCCATCTTTTATCCATTCTCATACCCCCATTCGCGTGTGTTCTCTAGGTCAGCTCAGCATTTCACACATGCGTTTAGTTGGTGTCAAAATCACGCATCAACAATTTTGACACTAGAAGGAGGGTCTGATTTAATATTTGTCCTTCATCAGGAGAATCTCTAACTAGTCGGTCCTACAACAGCAAATGACTCGCGGATTTGAATCTGAGCAAACCAACCGTGGTGAGGAAGAAATCCCCTAGGCGCAAGAGGACACTTCTTCCGAAGTGCCCCCAGTCTCGCAAGATCTCGTAGGGGATATTCCTTCAAGCTCACGGCTTGACCCAGCCATCATGAGCTACCTGGAGAGGTTCAACCATACTCTTCAAACGGTTAACCAAAGGTTAGATCGTTTGGATCGGGTTGCACCACCCGAATCAAATAAGGCGGTACCACCGCCTAAAACGCCTGCAGGTTGCATGAATGCGCAGAAAATGGCGATAGCCCGTGCCGCGCGCACTGTAGCACATTAAAGGAAGGGAAAGCAGGTGGCGAACAGTGGGCCTAAAGGACCCGAGGGACCAGCGAACACCGACCGCACCCTGGGTAGAATACCCGTGGCGCAAAGACTCGGTGACAGGTCACATCCCGAGCTGTCCTATGCCACATCGCGCGAGCACTCCCATAAAAGTGCGAGATGGGGCGATTCCCATTACCGCCAGAATGACGACCCTAATTGTCATCGCGCGGGAAGTTCCTACCATCCGCGGGTTGGTTCGTACCATCGCAGAGGTCGGAAAGGTTCTTCGGACCATTCATTGCCATCACACGGCTCTACCCAGCGTGTGTCGAGAGCGACCGAAACTGCCGGCCAAGGCGAGGAAGAATCTAACATTCGGACTTTCCTCAATCGCAATCGCGAGGGTCGAACCCGCATAGGGGAAAGCGATCCCTAGATGGCTTCGCTGTCTCAGATTGAGGAGCTACAGTGAGTTCTGGATCAGCTAAAAGCTTAAAATAATGAGCAATGGCAGGTCGCAGAAGTGTCTCCCTTTTCTCTGGCTATGTTAGCCTCCCCTCTCCCATCCAGATTCAGAATGCCCGATATGCCGGTGTTCGATGGAAATTCTGATCCGTAGGATCATTTATACGAATTCAATGACCTAATGGAACTTCATCAAGTTTCTGATTTGGCAAAATGTCGATGCTTAGTAATGACACTTACGTCTCATGCCAAGCGATGGTTCAGGTCACTTTCGGCGGGATCAATCAGCTCGTGGAATCAGATGAGCTCGACATTCTTGAGACACTTCCAAGCAAACAAGAAGTTCTCAATGCCTTTGAGCTACCTCAGCAACATAAGATAAGAAAGGGATGAATCCCTCCAATCTTACATCGATAGGTTCCACAGAAAGCTCCATAAAGTAGCTCACACTCCCGAAGAGTCCGTTCGGACTCTCATCATAGCGAGAGTTCGTCCACAGACAAACCCGTGGAAGGAGTTGCAATCAGAGGACGATGTTTCCCTCACTCGCTTTTACAACCTTACGAAGAAATACCTCTGTGTTGAGAGCTCTGTGGCGGCGCTCCACCGCCACGACCCCGACACTTCTGGCAATGTACCAAGCCAGGGGGAAAATAGGAGAGTTGATCGTAGATGGGCTAATGACGATCAACGAAAAGGAAAGAAACCTCGGTTTGAGCCCAAGAAGTCTTATGCTACAGTTCCTCGTCGCAATCGCGATAGGACTCAGTATACCCCTTTGAATGCATCTCTTTCAGCCATTCTTGATAAATCTGAAGAGGCCGGTTTGCTCGGAGAGCCTGAGCCCATGAAAGGTCTCTTCTCATCCAGAAACAGTAAAAAATATTGTCGTTATCATAGGGACAATGTGCATCACACCAATGAGTGTCGAGCTCTCAAGCAGGCAATCGAAAATCCTATCAAGCAGGGGCATTTCAAAAAATATGTTGATGACTCTGCTCCCGTAAGGGAGAAAAATCAAGAGGAACCAAGTAAGAAGCATCGTGATCGCAAGGGTGTCTGTAGCGTAGGGATAATCTTTGGAGGACTGCACCTCGGAGGAAACTCGCGAGGTGCCCAAGAAAGATATGCTTGCGCAGCCCATCACGACCCTATCAGTGTGATGAACATGATGCATCGACCACCAAAGGTTCGCAGGGAGGAGGAAATCACCTTCTTTGAAAAGGACGCAGTCCAATTGCATCATCCCCATGATGATGCTCTCATCATCACACCCTAAATAGGGCGCTTTGACGTCCACAAAATGTTGGTGGACAATGGAAGCATTGTGAACACCAGCTTTCGAGAGAATGAAATTGGATGAGGCCAACCTAAAGCCCGCCTCAATCCCCCTATATGGTTTTACAGGGGATCTCGCTTCCAGTCACGCTGGGTGACTCTGACGAGGTGACCAAAATAACTGAATTCTTAGTAGTGGATTGCCCATCCGCTTTCAATGGCATTTTAGGGTGACTTCTACTGAGGAACTTCAAAGCAGTCATTTCGATCTACCATCTCAAGATGAAGTTCCCCACCCCGACGGGGATAGGGGAAGTAAGCGGATCTCAGTGCTCATCTCATGACTGCTATGTAAAGGCAGTGCAGATGGCATGTAAGGGGAAAGACATCTCGTGTGGCATTCCCAAACAGGCAATGGCAATCAGTCGGATCGAACCACAGCCTGGCCTAGCTGAGGATAATATGGATCCTCGTATCTAGGAATGCCCTGCCAGTGGGCTAATTGAGGATCTAACGGAAGTGTCAGTCGACCAGAGCGAGCCGAGTAGAGTGTTGAGGATTGGAAGCAATCTCAACCCCCAGCTCGCTAACGACCTGATCAGCTTCCTTAGAGAAAGTATTGATGTGTTTGCATGGACGCATGCGGATATGGTCGGGATCAGCGTGGACGTCATTTGCCATGCTTTGAACATCGATAGTGAAACCAAACCAGTCCGCCAAAAAAGAAAGGTGATGGATCCAGAGCGGTATGCTACCTTAAAAATAAGATAGATAACCTCTTGCAGAATGGGTCCTTCTGATAAGCGCTTTACCCCAGCTGGGTTACCAACCCAGTTCTAGTAAAGAAACCCAATGGCAAGTGGCGGACCTGTGTGGACTTCACCAACCTCAACAAAGTCTGCCCCAAGGATAGTTTTTCCCTACCCAGGATCGACTAGCTCGTTGATGCTACCTCGGGGCATGAGCTACTGAGCTTTATGGATGCATACTCGCGATACAATCAAATTTCGATGTATGCACCGGACGAAGAGCATACCTCCTTTGTAACAGATCGGGGGCTGTATTGCTATAGGGTTATGCCCTTCGGACTGAAAAACGCTGGAGCAACTTACCAGCAGTTGGTTAACCAAATGTTTTTTGAGCAGATCGGAAAGTCGATGGAAGTCTATGTTGATGACATGCTAGTCAAGTCGCATGTGGCTTCATATCACATAGCACATCTTGCTGAGATGTTCGACATCCTCCGGAAATACAAAATGAAGCTTAATCCTTTCAAATGCTCATTCGGAGTATCCTCAGGAAAGTTCTTGGGGTACATGGTTAACCAGCGGGGAATAGAGATCAACCTCGAGAAAATCCAAGCTCTCATCAACATGAAAAGCCCGACCAACCGAAAACAGGTTCAAAGTCTCAATGGGTGAATAACGGCACTTAGTTGCTTCATATCGAGGCTAATAGATCGTTGCTTGCCATTCTTCAACATTCTTAGGGCCAATAAGAAGTTTGAGTGGACTCCCAAGTGCGAACAGGCATTTCAGAGCATTAAATAGCACCTCAGAAAACCACCTCTTCAATCCAAGTCTCTCCCGCAAGAAATCCTGCTCTTGTATTTATCTGTCTCCTAGTACGCAGTCAGTGTAGCATTAGTTCAAAAGGAGAGCAAGGTTCAATAGCCAGTGTATTACGCGAGCCAACGTCTGCTGGATGTCGAGATGCAGTATCCGAAAATAAAGCAATTAGCTTATGCCCTGTTGATCGCTTCCCAAAAGTTGTGACCTTACTTCCAGCCCCATACAATCCATGTAATGACAAGTTACCCGCTCAGGCAAGTCCTCCAGAAACCGGAGGCATCGGGTAAATTGCTCAAATGGGCCACGAAACTAAGTCAGTTCGATCTACAATATAGACCAAAAGCAACTATCAAAGGGCAAACTGT